TATAAAAACTTTTCTGAATTTACAAGTTACGCTTTTCATTTTCACTCTACTTTATTGAAATTTTGATTAATTGCTTTTCAAGAAACTTCATTTCAATATAAATCGATCATGACTAATCTCGATTCAATGACGATTCACCTCAAGAGATTTCAAACGATAACTTGGAAGCAAATAACCTTAAACTCGAAGAAACTATTCAAGAAAAAGGCTCCAAATATTCAATCGAAAAAATAGATTAGACATTTCTCATGATTTCACTTTTAACACAAAGATTCAGAACTTGATCTGAAATCGAAATTCAAATTTTCAAAAGTTCTGGACAACATTTAAAGCAGCAGATTATTGCATTTTTTGACAATTTCGAAAATTAGTCTTCGATTCATTCAAGACTTCTAGTTTGGATCAATACTTAATTAAGTCATGATTCATCAAATCTGAGTTCTGATTTGCTCATTTATTCCTAATATTGTGCATTTTCAGCAACATTGAAACTTTATTTTTACTTTAGACTTTTAATTTTAAAAATATTTTTTTGTAAAAAATGAAAAAGTGATCTTTTTGCTCTGATCTCGACTAGTAACAAACCTTGAAATTCATCTTCGATTGTGAAATGACTATTCATTATGCATGATGTTTAATTGGTTCCAAGTGATTAATGAACCATTTGAAGATCAACTGATCAAGATAGTTCTGTATTACTTGACCCATTAAACACATAACTAGAAATGATCAACACCAGATTAACATTGATATTCACAGTTATGATTATTGAAATGAAATTTTCATGAAGTAATGAAACTATAATTCTTTCAATCTATTCATCTTTATAGATCAACTCAAAGTTTGAAAAAATTTCACTCCTAAACCATTTTTTACATCATTGTTGACATTGAAGGAAACAACTGAATACTTTCAATATCTTGAGTTAATTTCATCCTAATGAAGTTTCCCTTCAAACTATTTACCAAAGTTGCAAGTCTCTCATTATTCAAAATTTAATGTTAAAACAAATTTCCAATTACTCAGTTTAATGATCCAAATTGATTTAGTTTCAACAAATCAATGCCAGTGCAATTGACTTGATTACCATGATTTACAAGTGAAAAGCACAGTTGCCATAATGCTACTTACATTGATTATCTTGTCTTTTCATTTCAATTTAAGTCAGTTATCATCATTAAATTTGAACATACAATCTGTTTCATGAAAAGTTTCTTTCAGTTCATTTTAATAATTCGTCTTTTTATTACATTTTTTTCTCGACGAAAAAAAAATGAACAAAAATAACATTAACTACAACCATTGATATTGATATATTTTTACTTTTGTTTTTCGTTGTTCTCTTCATTTTGTCAAAAGATTGATATCTTTTCAGTGTTTATCTGTTATTTACGGAACTTTTACTCAATGAATCATTTTCCTTAATACAATGATAAACATATGATGATACTCTATTGATATAACTGTCACATCCTTTTGTTGTTTTTGCTGCCAGTGTAACCAACAATATAAAATATTGTCATTCACTTTGTAATTTTCAGCTTCATCTCATTTGCTATCATTTTTATTGCAACAAAAACTGAATCAGAATCAGATTACCTTTCAACCCTTTCCTCACAATCGCAGTAATTTATTTAAATATGCTTTTCCAAAGTGCCTTTTTTATTCCATGTAAATTGATATTTGAGGAAACAAAAAGTTCAATTTCCTTGAAACTAACGATAATGACAATGATAATGATAATGAAAAAACATGAAACATGAAATTAGCTAATCATCATTAAATAAGTTTCACTTTTTGCCTTTACCTTCTCATTATTATAGCATTTTACTGAAATGTTTTCCAAAAGCTTTTTTTCCATCATAACTGTTATCATAATTTTCAATCTCAACATTTTCTTCTCAATGTTTCATGGGAATTATATGGAATGACCAACAGATAAAAATATCCAATAACTGGGAATTGAATAAGTTGAATATTTTTACTTCAATTCTGTCAGCCAAATAAATGTTAATCTTTTTGCTTCCCTTTTCATCCTCATATTTCATGATATATTTTGTTTGATTTAGTTGAATGTCTTTATATTATCATGATTTATGGTGACATGGATGAACGTGTCAATAGTTTTATCTTCATTCTTAATAATAACAGTTCCATTAATACCGACTTCCATGTAAACTCTGATTAACCTGGTAAATACCATTTCTTTTCAAGTATAATTCATTATTCTCATTACCTTCAACATCATGAGCAAAAGTGTGAGTAAATGAAATTTCATTTCAAATGTTGATCATGTTTCAAGAGCTTTTGTTTCAACATTAAAAATGCTAATCTTTTTGCTGATTTACATTAAGAATTTTGAGAAAAAGTTCATTATTCGAAGTTGATTGATTATCTGAAGCCTTTTACCTATTTTCAATTTTAACCTGAAAAGTTTTGCCTCTTGAATTAATTCAAAGATCAGAATGATTCTGGTTGGATTATCATTATTATCGTAAGTCACAAAATGTGACATTAAAGGTTCAATATGAAGTGCTGTCTTTTTGTGTGTATTTTAGGTTAATACAATGAAGTGGTGAAGATGATGTGAATGTTAAAAGGTTTATCCAAATACAGAATTGGTTTTTTATCTATTGATATTAAGCTTTTGTGGAGGAAGGGAATGAAGATGGAGAAGATGATGAAGATAGAAATTGTTGTTATCAATTATACCAAGTTTCCAATGCAAACAAGACGCAATTTTGTGGTTCCTTTCAATGAAAAGTAAATGAATAATCTCCTCTATCAATCTATTTTATATTAAAAAACATCATCATGATACATGAGTCTTTCATTTCTTTGGCTTTTTGCTATTGTCAGCATTTTTTCCCTTCATCTCTTTCAAATATTCCTCTTCTTTTTTTGTTACTCTAAACCTCACTTGAAATCAATCATCAACCTCATGATAATGATGATATAAACATGGTGAGATCTCACATGAAGTTTAATTTAGTTGATACTTTGTTGCTAATGTTTCCTCAAAATACACTTTAAGCTATTAAAAGGGAAAAGTTGAAAAATTTCATTTTACATTTCAAGTAACTTTTATCATTTCAATTTGCAATTTCAATTGAAAAAAATAATCTAAAAGTTGATCAAAGATTCAAAAGTTGACAATGAGTTTGATTTGAAGTCAAGAAAATTAGACTTCTCCATTAATGGACACTGTCCAGTGTCTAAATGATTAATAAGTGTTACCGATGCTTTTGATTGGTAAAAATGTTGCTGTTACTTTGATGCATTGTTTTCCGTTGAGTTATTGTTGACCATTTTTGGTATCAACATGTTTGACAAAGCAAAAGATGATTCTATTGATACGTTAATGGGAATAACACAATCTGGTTACAAGGAATCAGTCAATGTAATCAATGTTAGCGATGTGATTACAGGAAACTGAAATGGGTAACAAGGTAGATGATGATGAAGATGATGGTGATCAATGAAGAATGGTCAATTTAGAAGCAATAAGAAGAAATGTTTGTAGACTGAAGAAGAAGGCAAAAGAGTTGTAAATGTTAACCAGATTCCTCTTGAGTTACATGAGATGGTGAAATAATTTAGATTCTTGTTTTTTCTCTATCTCTTGTTCCTATTGTCTTGCTTGATTGCTTTGGTTTCATTGATTTGTAGACACAATTGTTATCAGGTAAACATGGTGGATCCTTGAATGAATCAGAAACAAGCCAGTCGAGAAACCAGCAACAGAATGTCTGCAAAAAAGGAAAAGGTTTCACCAATAATTCAACATCTTATTAGCATCAACTTTTACATGATCCATGATGATCATGATTATTGACTTGAAAATGTTTCTCTAAATCTCTGTAAATTTCATGATTCAAGCAAAATGTTAACCTTTTGTTTCTCGACTTTCATTATCATTCACTTATGAAGTCTCATAATGAAGATGAAAAATGATGTTGAACAAATGGAAATTGATGACGAATTTTAACCTCAAGTGATGCTTGACAATGGAGAGAAGATGAAGAAGAAAAATAAGAAATTCTGAATCTTCATCTTTACATGATTCTTCGAGTTTCATCTCAAACCTTTTACCCATTGGATTCCCTTAGGCTAATCTTTTTTATCCACTTTTTCCATTTTTGTTCAACTTTTCATCTTTCCCATCACCTTTATCTTCTCGCTCATCATCCTTTACTTTTATTATTAACATCTTAAGTTTCATCAATATTATCATGATCATCATTTACCTCTTTTGTCTCTTCCCTACTTTATGTCAACCTGGCAGCTCTTTAATTTTCAAGCTTAGATTCATTAGCTAATTAGAATTACAATTGAGAGATTGCTTTAAGAGATTTTCCTTTATTCCAACCCAAACTTGATTAACTTAATTAGAGTCGCAATCTTAAATGATTTGCTCATCTTCATCAACAGTTAACAGGCACATTATTCAAACCCACAATAGGCAAAAAAACAACAAATGTGAAAAAACCAAGTCAATGTCTGTTGACAAGAAGTTGAATTATAATTGTCAACACAAGATATACATAGTATTATTGTAAGGCGACAACAATTAAACTCTGTTGATTACATTGTTTAATTGAATCATTGTCCACGATTGTATTGAATCTCATTGATTGTTGAAACAAAAGGCAAAGTTATTCATAACTTGAAACAACTTATTCTTCTCATGCAAATTGTTTCATCGTTTTATTGAATTTCTGTATTTGCCAACAATGATAAGACAAAAAAGATGACTTTTTCATGTAAATTCATTTTTTCAACTTTCAACTCTCTTGAGATGAAAAATTATCCCTTTAAAAGTTCTTTAGGTGATGAACTGAAAAACTGTTTTCATAGCAATTTGTCAGCAATCACAATCCATAATTATCATAACGATCAATAGAGTTTATTGAAAATCAAAGAAAATTTCTTTTCACTTTCTTGAAACTTGCTAATGTTGATTTGACTTCTAATGGTTAACATTTAATTTAATTTCACAGATTGAGCCAATTAGATATTCAGTTCATGAAACGAATCCACCAAAAGGTTAATCTTGTTCCCATCATTGCAAAAGCTGACGCATTTAAACCTGCAGAACTTCATATGTTTAAAAAAAAGGTAATTACATTCATCTTTTCATCAATTTTTGGTAATTTCCTGAAGATTGATAAACTCTTGAGAATAAAACTGATTGATCGAGTAAATGATTAACCCTTTTTTTCGTGTTCTCTTTCTTTCTATCAACAGGTTCTCAAAGAATTGGATGATCATGGGATAAGCATTTTCCGTATTCCTGAATGTGACAGTGATGAGGATGAAGATTTCAGACGGAAAGACAAAGAGATTAAAGTAAGTTGACATTATGAGAAGCAAACAAAGAAAAGGGTTACAAAGTATCTTCATCTTTTGTTGATCAACATTTAATTAGATTAAACAACAATAAAAGCTGCAAATTAAAATATCAAAATAACATGAAAACAAAAACCTTTTCCAACTGTTCAGTCAAAAGTCATAAAAAGTGCAAAAGTTATGCAAACATCAGACAATTGATAATCATTATTCCTTTCAAAACTCAATGTTCATTCATTCACCATGTTCTTTCCATCATTTCCATGGGAAATTCAAAACTATTTTTTCTCTTGATTTGTTTACCATCAACCTTCAGGATAGCATTCCGTTTGCTGTTGTTGGAAGCACAACTCAGATCGAAATAAATGGTCGTAAAACTCGTGGTCGAGTTTATCCATGGGGTTCGATAGACATTCAAGATGAACAGTTCTCTGATTACGTTAAATTAAAAACCTTTCTCAGGTAATTTTGACCATCAGTAAATTCGTTTGTTAAGCAAATCTTTTTGAAATTTGAATTTCGTTCAAACGAACATTTGAATCAATTTATTGATATTTGATTTCAATGTTAAGGTTTGCTTGATAATGGCTTTAACCTCTTTAAATTTGATTTGAATGATGAGAAATGTTTTCTTTATTTTCATTCATTTTATTCATTTCATTCATTCCGATGATGCGATTGATGATTATCTTGCCATCGTTATTGATCATCTAAAGCCTTCACATGCAAGACTTGAAAGACGTAACCAATGAAGTTTTGTATGAAAATTATCGAGCTCTTTATTTAACCAAACTGGGAAGTGGTTCTATAAGGTAATGTATAAATACATTAATTCATCAAGAATATCATATTATTTCATGACATTTTTCTTGCCTTCTCCTTTCATTCAATTCACCTTCACTTACATCTAATTGATTTTCATCTTGCAATCTTCCCTTCGCCTTCTCCTCCTCCTTGTCAACTTTAATAACTTTTTCTTCTTCTATTTACATGTTTTTACCTTCCCTGACATCCAACTCTTTCCTTACCTTTAAATACTTTCTTCCCTGTTAATGCCAACATGATCATTATTCTTGACTTTTCTTCATTTGTTTTTAATTTCACAGTCCAATACCTGTTCGAGCTGCAACCGAGGCAACAAACACCTCAATTCCTGCTGATAAGTTATTACAATTAAAGGAAGAAGAGGTAAGTTTAATTGCAAAATCACAGATTACAAGGATGACAATCAGAGTAATGATAAATGTCCATTTCAATGTTCAGTACAATGGAACTTTCATTAAGATTAACAAATTATAATTGTTGGTAAACTAGAATAAGATGAAAGGATGACTCAAATCTGAGCTTAACGCTTAAACGTATTTATTGTAAGAAGGTTTAGAAAAAAGTGTGTGTGAAATACAAAAATTATTCTTTAAATACTTGTTTCAAGTCAACCACAACGAGGACTCATGAGTGATTCCTCAGACTCAACGAGGACGTTTCCTGAGGGCTCAATTGAGATCTCAATGTGAAGCTCTGGGATCTCAATGTGAAGCTCTGAGATCTCAATATGAGAACCTGAGATCTCAATATGAGAACCTGAGATCTCAATATGAGAACCTGAGATCTCAATACGAGATCTCAATGCCGAGTGCTATTCTCAACACTCCCACTCACGAGGCATTCCATGCCGATTTTAGATCTACATTTCTCGAATGCTTCACGGCTCAATGGCTTAGTTAGAAAGTCCGCTGCTTGTTCCTCTGATGGTACATATTGAACATCAATCTCTCCATTTTCCTTTGTATCCCTGATAAAATGAAATCGCACATCTATGTGCTTTGTTCTTTTATGTAGTATTGGATTATCCACAAGTTTAATTGCTCCTTGATTGTCACAATGTATGACTGTTGGTTTCTTCTGTTGAGATCTCATTTCGAATAACAACTGTCTAAACCAAACGACTTCTTTGGTGCATTCAGCCAGAGCCATGTATTCGGCTTCGGTCGTACTCTGAGCAACAACTCGTTGTGATCTGGAAGCCCAAGCTACAGGTCCACCATTGAGTAACACCACATATCCACTAATTGATCTACGAGTCATAGGATCAGTAGCATAATCAGAGTCACAGTATGCCGAGATTTCCAATCCAGTTGCCCCACCAAATGAAATACCATAGTCGCTTGTTCCCTTTAGGTATCTGAAAATTCTCTTGACTGCTTTCCAATGAGAGCTCGAAAAGTTACTGCAGAACTGTGAGCACTTTGAGACTATGTACATGATGTCAGGTCTAGTAGTACAAGCCAAGTACATCAATGCTCCCACTGCTTCTTGATAGGGGACATCAATCTTTTCATCCGAGTCGTTAACTTCCAAATTTTGATTACAATCGCTTGGTGTTCCTATCGGTTTGCAATTTTCCATTCCGAACCGCTCTAACAATCGCTGTATATAGCGACGAGAGCTCAGAATGAGATCTCTAGACGAATTATCATTGAGTATCTCCATTCCAAGAAAGTATTTGGCGTCATCTACGGTCATCTCAAAATGAGATCTCAGATAGTCCAAAACTTGCTTCGTATACCCTTGGTTAGTACTGCACAGTAGGCCATCGTCAACATAGAGCGTGAGAATCGACAGATTTCCATTAGAATTCGAAACGAAAATACCAGGATCAGATTCCAACTTCTTGAGTCCAAACTTTTGTAAAAAGGACGTGAATTTCAAGTTCCATTGTCTTGGAGCTTGTTTCAAGCCATAAAGACCTTTCAGAAGTTTGCACACCTTCCCTTCTGTTTCAACAAATCCTGGTGGCTGTTCCATGTAGAGTTCTTCTTTGAGATCACCATGTAAGAAGGCCGTCTTCACATCAAACTGAGTAATTGTCATATTGTGAAAACGTGCAACGGCCAGTACTGCTCTGATAGACTCATACCGAACCACAGGAGCAAACGTATGATTGTAGTCTTGGCCAAATCTTTGTGAAAATCCTTTGGCAACCAAACGAGCTTTATATCTATTCACTGACCCATCAGGATTTTCTTTGATTTTATAAACCCATTTACACTTGATAGCAGTTCGTCCTTGTGGAAGATCAACCAACTTCCAAGTATGATTAGTTTTCAGAGATGATATTTCCTCTTCCATAGCTTGTCTCCATAATTGTTGGTCTTTGCAGCTGATCGCTTCATCGAGTGTCTCAGGCTCATGAGCTAAGTAAACATAGTTACGGGGAGGTAACTCTCGTAAGTTGTAGCCAGTCTCAATTTGAGATTCCGATTCGAGATCTCCGTCTGCTACTTGAGTCGAACAATCTGTTTCACTTGGACTATTTTCAGCAATTTCTTGGCTTCTTGTCACGTTCGTGTCAGCTTGAGAGGTTGTTTCTTCGTCAGATTCCAAGTTAATAGAACATTGCCTAGCCAAAGGTTGATTTTGCTCACTGAGATCTCCATTTGAGATACTGAGATCTCCATTTGAGATACTGAGATCTCCATTTGAGATACTGAGACCTCCATTTGAGATACTGAGATCTCCATTTGAGATATCGCGATCTCCATTTGAGATCTCACATATTTCATCAACAAATCTAACATGTTTAACTATTTCGACCCGATTTGACTTCTCGGAATAAATTCGATAGTTCTTTGCCGTGTCTGTAAATCCAACAAGAATACCCTGTTTACTTTTCGGGTCCCATTTCCTTCGCCTCTCAGCCGGAATCAGACTAAAGGCTGTTGTTCCAAAAGGTTTCAGATGAGTTAGATCAGGCTTCTGTCCAAACCATAATTCGTATGGAGTTACACTTTGAGAATCGTTCTTGGGAACTCGATTCATGCAGTATGCCGCGGTATTCATTGCCTCAGCCCAAAGCTTTCGTGGCAAACTCTTAGAAAACAGCATAGATCTTGCGAGATCAGCTAAAGAGCGATTATCTCTTTCTACTTTCCCATTCTGCTCATGAACGTACGGAGCTGTGAATTCGTGCTTGATCCGATGCTTGGATAGTAATGCTGATACAACACTATTCTTGTACTCAGTGCCATTATCTGTCCTCAGTGTCTTTAGGCGATTTCCAGTTTCTGTTTCCACTTGACTAATAACAATGGGTAGGATACTTTGGATCTCACTTTTGTGTTTCATGAAGAAAACTTTTCTATATGAGCTAAATTCACATTTAAAGACAGCAGCAAATCTATTTCCTGAGATCGATGGTATTTCCATTGGACCCATTACATCTGAATGAATGTAAGTACCAGGTATCTCAGCTTTGATCCTCGATGATTCAAACGATAGCTTTGTCTGCTTCCCCAAGGTGCAACCTTTGCAGAAGAATTTAGCTCTCTGTTCTTGAAGATTTTTCACACACGGTATCATACCGAGCCTGGCCATTTTTATAACTTTATCAACACCAATATGTCCTAGTTTTTGATGCCATTCCATCAATGATCCATCGCTTTTAGACACTATGTAAGCTTTTGAGATCTCAGTCTGAGATCTCACACCAACTTTAAACATATTACTTTGATAACTACGTGATCCAACCAACACAATTTTACCAGTTTGAGATCTCACTGTAACACCGTCTTCCGTAGCGACAACGACAAACCCTTTCGATGTTAGTGCGCCCATGGAGATCAAATGTGGTACTGATAACTTTGGAACATGTCGTACATTCAATAAAATGTTTTTATTCCAACGCTTTCCATCGAATGTCTCAACTCTGACATCTCCAAAACCAATGGCTTGTAGTGAATTGCCATCACCTATCTCGTAGCTTTCAGTCCTATCCAGTTGAGTGTAATTATCGAATAAAGTCCTATCACGAACCAAGTGACAGGATGCCCCTGAATCTAATATCCATCCTGATTTTTCGCAAGTTGAAAACTGTTGCACCATCAGTCCATATTGTCTTTCATTGTGGTTCTTTCTCTTCGGGCAATCTCTTTTGAAGTGACCAGTCTCTCCACAAGAGTAGCATTTGAATACTCTCTTTTTGAACTTTTTACCTCTTTTGTCGTGTTGAACCATTAGAGCCTCACCATGGAATCTCATTCCGGGATCGCACAATTCTTTTTCTGCAGCAATGAGCTGAGACTGTAAATCCTCAAGTCTCAGTTTGAGACCTCCAATTGTTGCTAACCTCCAGTTTCTCCTGAACCCGTCATAACTGCTAGGAAGGTCATTAACTATCTTAGCCATAATGGTTTCCTGTGAAGGCTCCTGTCCAAGGTCCCTCATCTGCTTTATGATGACTGAGATCTCACTCAAATACAAGCTGACCGTTTTACCAGCATCAAACTTTAGATCGTGGAACGCTTGAGCACAAAGGTATTTATTAGTTACCGAGGCCTGTTCACAATAATTAAGAAGAGTCTTCCAAACTTCAGCAGCAGATGTACATGACAGTATCAAAGCGTGATGCTCCCCATCCAGAGTTACTGAAAGCAAAGAACGAGTCTTGGCATCCTTCTTTTTCCATTCTTTTTCATTCTCCACTGTCTTCTTTTCAGCACCTGTGACCATGTCCATGAGATCCTTCGATTCTAGCACTGCTGAGATCTCATACTTCCATCGCTGGAAGGATGATTTAGTTAAAGTTGCTACACGTAGATTGCTACTATGATCGTTCTCCATTGTGTATTTATAAATTTCACAATTATCTCAAAATCACAGAAATATATAGACAGTAATTCGAAACACTAGTATCACAATTAATTACAAGCGAGCTGGGCCCATAACCTGTTGGTAAACTAGAATAAGATGAAAGGATGACTCAAATCTGAGCTTAACGCTTAAACGTATTTATTGTAAGAAGGTTTAGAAAAAAGTGTGTGTGAAATACAAAAATTATTCTTTAAATACTTGTTTCAAGTCAACCACAACGAGGACTCATGAGTGATTCCTCAGACTCAACGAGGACGTTTCCTGAGGGCTCAATTGAGATCTCAATGTGAAGCTCTGGGATCTCAATGTGAAGCTCTGAGATCTCAATATGAGAACCTGAGATCTCAATATGAGAACCTGAGATCTCAATATGAGAACCTGAGATCTCAATACGAGATCTCAATGCCGAGTGCTATTCTCAACAATAATCTTAATACAAATTGCTATTTTAGGTGAAAATTCGAGCTAATTTCCATGATCTTCAAACTAAAATAAGCTTTGATCAACGAAAAAAAACGTCAATCTGTCACGATAGTAAAGTTGATATCAATTGAACTTTGAGTTCGTCATTGAACTTGTCAAAAGTAAAAAAATGATTCCCTGAGCTAAACTGAGATAAAGTGTAACTCCAGTTTGGTTAGTCTCAATATTTAGTCGATTATCATTAGCATCGATCAATATTGGCTTGTATTCATTATAAACATAAATGTGAAAAAAACTCGAATCAAATTAATTGAGCTCAGAACCTCGAAAAGAGCATTTGTATTTTTCATCAACTTTCACTCAATTACATCTGAATTAATGATAAAATTTTTCTCTCTATTCACAGATTCGTCGAATGCAAGAGCAACTGATTCACATGCAAGAAGCACTTCGTCAACAGTCTCACAGCGTACCTGCCAGTGGTAACCAATCGGCCGATTCCCCATCACCTTCAAGTCCAGCTCATAGAGATGATTCTCACTAGTAGCTCAACTAGTGACACACAACTTTTCGAGAACAGCTCTTAAAAGTACTCTTTATGCTCACTGCTAAATGATATAATTAACTCATCACTTGATTATCAATCAAAAGTGTGCGAGGTATTGAGTGTCAACAAAATTGTAGCTGAAAGACGCGAATAATGAATCAGGCTAAAAGGATGAGATTAAAAGCTGTGCTCCTCTTAAGTTGCACAAACAAACCATTTAATAATCAAGTTGACAGTTACCTCATTCAGATAATATATAATATAATCCAGACTAATATAACCAAATATCATATCATGAGTTATCAATTATACACAACTTCATACAACTCACCCAGTTACTGGATAAGTTCACTTATAGTTACACAAAAATTAATTATACAACCAAAGACATATTGAAAACAATATAAAAAATTATAATCAACTAGATAATTGGTTAACTAGCAACTTTGGGCAGCTTTTTGGTTTCATTGAAAAATAATCATTTTTTCAAAATTGTATTCAAAGACAAAAACTCAATTGCATTTAATCCAACATTTAACGGCATTTACTATCAAGTATAATACACTTTTCAATGGTTGATATTATTTTCGTTATTTCCTATCAATTTCATCATTTATTGTTTCAATACCTTTTTTTACACTTTTGTTTACTTCAATTTCATTTTCATCTTTTCTTCCGTTTCCATTGTATCCATTTGTATACACAATTGTAACTCAATAATTGTACTTAATTTCTAGTCATGCAAACCTGTGCTTAGACAATGATTAAAGTTAACTTTATACCAAAAGTAATGACGGCCAATTGAATTTTATTTAAGGTCAAAGTGTTCGATCGCGAGTAAGTCCATCCAAGCCAAGTTTTGGTCAATCGCTTCTTTACCATTGAATCTGTCGACTTGAACACACCCTTACAGGTGATTGTGATTGAACCATTTGTGTGATGACATTTGTCGATGATCAAAGTCAATCCAATTGAGAGTCCATCATTTGCATGATGATTGATTACTTTGTATGGACAAAACTGTAAGAGAAAAAAAAGAAAAAGAAAAATGAAAAGTTCATTTTTGTAATCGGTTGGCTCATGATTTTTGATACACTTTTCTTGGTTGAAGTAATGAAGCAAAGTAATGGCAGTTTAAACATTATTGGATCATTATTATGTATGAAAAGAGTGTCTGAGAAAAGGTTGAGAAAGTTGGAAAAAAACAGGAAAACAGGAAACGGAACTTGAGATAATGATGTGAACAAAGTATCGAAACTATTGAATGAGCTTTTCATCTTCTCTTGTTTACTATGATGATGCGAATGATGATCAAGTTGATCACCTTTTTTCCTCTGTTGTCTCCTTTTAAAGCTAAGCCTTTTCACTCTCTTGTTATATCAATCGAGGCTTGCAGCTATTGAGCTTCAATTGAATATGAAAACCCTCAAGTTATCATGAACATGGTATGAACTATTTCAAAGGAATCATCTAATAGTGAAAGATAGAAAATGAAAAAATGATTTGTTTCTAGTTTTTTTCTCTTTCTTTCTTGGACTTTTATTCTTTCTGTTTCTTCCTCTTGAAACCGGAACCAGGCCAACAGATAATGAGGCAAAGAAAGAAGTAAAAGGTCAAAAAATAATGAAAACAAGATTGAAAGGAAGATGGGAAAACATCAAAGGCAAGAGAAAGATGAAATGAATAACAGAAGATGTTAAATACAATTTGAAAAGTCAAAAGCAGAGTAGATCAACATTTCTCATTGTAAGTGGTTGCAGCAACTGAATATAAATATTTATTAAAATCAAATCAATTTTCATTGCCGCGATTCGCCTTCAGGTATAAATTGTTTCAATATTGAGTAATCACATGTATCTTGTTTTCAATGTGGAGTTGGATTGAAATAGTTGACATGAAGTTATAAACTCGAGTTATTAGTAAATGTTGAGTCACTACACTGAGGATATTCACGATCAAGATTCGAAAATTAACAGTAAAAATTTCTCTTTTCTCTGTTTTCGAAAATTAAACCCATGTCTTAACGGTGCGTGCTGAACAATTTGCAGATATTCTGATATTTTGATGTTAACTACTATTCAAACATGTATCTTTGTATTCTTGAATTAGAGTTGCCTCTAGTCATGAAAGAAACAAAACTATTTTGATTCTTTAGCAAGTGTGACTGGGCCAAGAGTATCCACAATGGATTCTCTTGTATTATTTCGGTGCTGTTAGATTCAAGTTTTTGGATCATAGTCCACTAGACATGTTTGACTCTTAATGGGCTTGAGAAAACATTTTTTACACAATGGCAATGGTACATTTAAATGAACGAATGTTCCTAATAATGAATGAATCACTAATCAAAATTTTTGAAAAAATAAGATTAAATCTTTGAAACACTTTGGCATGCACAATTGCATGGCAGCTATTCTGAAAAATGAATGAATAAAATTAGAATCAAAAGCAAAAAAGTCTACAACACCGGGGGTTCCCAAGTGGTCTCCCTCCCAAGTACTAACCCGGCCCGAAACTGCTTAACTTCGGAGATCGGACGGGATCCGGTGTTTTCAGTCTGGTATGGTCGTAGACACAAGAGAAGTGAAAAAGTAATATATAAAATAAATTAAACATACTTCTGGTCATAATTCTCGAAGCTCAGATTGAAAGAAGCTGGAAAGAAATGTAAATATCTGAACTAGTTAGCTAACTGTAGAGGCCAAAGACCATGACGGGATAGGAACAGAAGTTTGTAAAACTAATGCTTAATGAGTCAATACTGTATATAAATATGCTTATTTCATTCCGATGTGTTAAAAGTCAAAAGTTACCCTTATATTCCATGAACTTGGAAGATTCCATTCTAAATCAATCTTTCCTTTTGATTGCTCGACTGGAAGTGGAAGTGTACAATTAAGGTCAACTTTATCACCAAGATGATATTCACTTTTATCAACTTTTATTATCGGCTTTAAATATTCACTCCCAACAATTCCCAGTTGAATTGTATCTTGAGTTTCATTTTCTTGCCTCGACTCGTCCAGAGTAACATTGAATCTTTTCTCTGTAATAATAAAAACAAGAAAACAATAAACGAAATTCAATTAAAAGGTGAATCAGAAGAGGAGAAAATAAATTGCAATATAAATTGAAAACAATTGAATTGTTTTTGATTGAAATAAAAGTTGATTTAGAGTAAATTGTCCAAGTTTAACCTGGCAACATTTAATAAATAATGAAAATGTAATGAAACGCGAAACTCAAGTTGATCTTAATCATAAAAGAAGCGATCATTATCATGAAAAATAGTCTAGAGGAGAAAATTTTCAATCGTAAAATGGAAACATCGATAATAAATTTGACTCACAAACAAATTGCAATTTGCTTAATCATTTGGAATCCAATTTAACCATATCACATTGACTGTTTCTCATCAAATCCATAGAGCAAGTTGAAATGAGATAATCAAAAGGACGAAGGGAAAAGTTGAAGTCAATCAATAATAATAAGTGGATACAATAAGTTAATAGAGACTAAACCATGGTTCAAGTCGATCCTCATTGTTGACCATTTTTCAACCGAACTGCATGTTCGTCCTCCCATCTCATCATCATCCGTTTCCATCTCCTTTGAGAGTCACTATTTACCCTTCAATGAACTTGATAATTGGAAAAAAACTCCTTTCCAATCAACCTTTTATCTTCTTTTCTTCTTCTTAAATCATCCTTTAAGATGATGATGATAATGATGATAAAATATATAGATAATTGTTTGAAAAAAGAAGTTGACTCAAGAATTGATTATAACTTGAAATTGGGTTAAATTAACCATGCATGTTGTGTTGACAGTAACTTTAACATGACTTTTTCCTTGTCAACTTCTGGTCAACTTGAGATTATCTTGTCCAGAAACATTGTAATACATTATAATAATGCTAATAATAGATGACTTTTTATCTTTTACTGTTTTCTACCTTCAACCACATTTCATCATGGTTACATGTTGAACCCAATTTTTGTATCAATGATCACAATTATTGTTGGCTGTTTGGTTGAAAGAAGATATTACAAAAAAATCGAAATCATTTATCAGGTTTGGCATTCAATGGATTTACTCAAGCAAAATATAAAATGTAGCAAAATATGGAAAAGGCTATTCAAGTTGAACCAAATGAAATTCATTATTTTCAATTAATTTATTTATCTCATCAATTTGCTATCATAACAATCTCAATATACTCTTGATTTCATCCACAAAACATTCATCATGAAAAGATTATAGTTTTTACATAACTTCATACTTGTTACGAACGAAACGAGTCTCTGCTTTTCTCAGTTTTCATCAAATATCGGTGCGATAGTTGATTTGGTCTTTAAGAAAGTTGAGTTTTTCAGAAATATTCGTTATACATGTATGTTCGACTAGTTGAGTTCATGCCATTTGTGTTGCCTTTTCACTGCTGGCTTACAGTTCAAATGAGCTCGACTTAAACACACCAATTTACGCAAAGCAAGGGCCATTTGAGATTTGAAAATGAAAAAGATTTTCTTTTTTTCTTGTTTCTTGTAATATTTAGTGAATCTCCTGTTTTATGTTATTGATCAGAAATCGTTACTCTGAAGATTCTGTCTTCATCTGAATTTTTCAGTAATTGGAAAACAGATTTACTCGATTTGGTCTAAAATTTATTACTTTTTCATAGGATCGATTTACGTTTCGATTTTGAGTTTTCTCATGAAAATATGGAAACTTGAGAAAGTGTCGATTCAGTTGAAAGTTTTATCAAAAAATCAAATTTCGATTCAAGAGTTTTCGATTTGTAGTTTTCGCTGTTCTTCAATCAACAAATCTTCTTCAACTTTGTTATGAGGAATCATTGAAAAGCATTTTCACCAAAAGGTTAATCTTTTCAATAGTTTCTTTGGTTTCATTTCAATTTTATGAAACCGAAGAAACTTTTAATTTAATGTTCACGGATTGATTAACAAATGGCAAGTAAATCACAATCAATATTCTAGATAAACTCTGAATGTTGATTCGTGAAATTAAATTTGATCAAAGAGCTGATCAAATCTATTCTAATGTACGATTCATCGAAATAAACATTGGATTCCTTCATGGATTTACTTTGCTTACAAAGCAAACAAAAACAAGGTTATGATTAAAAGGTTGTCCAATCAAACGGTAAACGTTAATTGATTGAATGCTGCCATTGATTTAGTTTGATTACTATTGGAACGATTAAAAGATTAATTGGTTAAATGTTTACAGGGAAGAAACAAGAAGCTACGAATTAATCTGGACTCAGATTAAGGTAAAAGGATTTTATCAGCAATTTGTGCCTGATTGGTTCGTTTTCATAAAATTATTTACATTGAGATTAAACCGTTGATTCCTTTGATAATAATTGTTCACTGGAATGATAATCAAGTTGAACTGAACAAGAAACCAGATTAATTGTTTTACTTTCATGGACAGAGTTGCTCTTCAGAAAGCAAATTTGATTTCATCTGACAAATGCCAACAATCAAGTTAAACAACATTAGTTTTCCGTTTTGTTTTGTGTTGATCAGATTTTCATTTTAATCTCTAACCACCAACTCAATTAGTTGGATAATTTGAAGCTTAATTCAAGTTACAATTGTTTTCCTCTTTCACATCATTCCATCTCTCCTTTTGTCTTCAACTATCTTCTTCATCTTGGACTTTATCTTCTTTAACCGATTATTCCCTTAAGTTGAAAAGTTGTCCACTTTTTTCTCTATTATTGTTGAAACATGGTAAAGTTACAAGTTCATTTCATATTGAATTCATTGACAATCTATTATCTCAGTTGAGCTCAACTTGATCCAATTGATTTCCCAAAGTCTAATTTATAAACTTTCCATTCTGCTTTCCTTTTCCTCAACAGTTAATGACAATTACAGAAGGCAAAAGTAGACAGAAAACTGCAAGAAAATCAGATGAACCAGATTTTCATTTCATTTTATTTCTCACTCCATGTCATCTAATTCATTGTTACAAATGTCATTACTCTTTTAATCCTCCAGATAATCAACAGATTGTTTCATGTAGCTTTTGGTAAAAAGGAAAGTCACATTCACTATAAACAACATTTTTCAATGAGAAAATTGAAAAGTCAAAGAAATGTCACCCAAAAATTTTGAACCAATTTCATTGTTTATAGCATTACACAGTTTATAAATTGTGAAGTCTGATGTCGATCAAGTCAATCAAATATCATTTCTGGTTCACAATTTGATTTTGGCGACGAAACGAAACAAATTATGCTTTTAAGTTTCTTCAAACAAAAGACAAAATCAAAGTTGAAAAAACGTTTAGATGTTCAGTTATGTCTATGATTTGTATTGGTATCATTATACATTGGTATTACACTATCATAAAGCAATATTTCTTGGTGTCTGTCCAGCATCGAGCACCAAAAAGGTTTAACTTGCTGAATGAATACAATTACTTGATACAATTTGAGGTAAATTTAGTTCTTGAGCTCAGGATATTTTCACCTTAACCAAACCTCAACACCAAGTTGAGGTCAGGCAAATTGACAGGCAAGAAAACATCGATTAAATGAGGAAATTGATGGGTTTTTCATCTTTCATGGCATATTGCATTATCTTGTTTCAGTATCCATTTGGATCATGATCAGCATTAAGGAATCAACTCTGATTGTTCCAAATTTATAGATTCCAAGATTCTTTTTGCCGATTGTTTCCGTGAAAGTAAAAAAGTAACTTAATTTTTGCCCGATTCTGGTGAATAATCATTTCCATTCTCAGGAAGTACGCATAGCTTTTTTATTAGATTTAGTGTTACTGGTTACACTGAGTCAGCTTGATGAGCGTTGTTTTAACATTAAAAGGTGCAAATTTGAAACAATTAGTTGGTAAAATGATGGACCATTTATGATGAGCATGGATAATGAGCGTTAATTGTGTTGCTATTTTGGTAACTGTTGTAATTATCCTTTGGATGATCAATTTTTCCTGACTAATCAAACGGTATTCACGTAACCAAAAAAATGGTTAAAAAATGTCTCTCAGGTAATTCATCATTAAACTAAACATAGTCTCTTAATTACCTTACCATGATCATTGCAATAAAACATAAATCAGCTTCAATCATTTCTACTAATCTATTTATATTCAGTTTTTTTCTAGTTTTTTTTCTTCTTCCTTACTAATTATAATTTGTTTAATCTTCTTCCTCGTCATTGTCATCTAAAGATGATGTGTTGAGTTGTTTATGATCTTGTAAAGTGAAAGACTCTGGAAACGCAAATGATAGACGAACGTTGCTTCCCTTCAAATTCATTTCAATTTCATAATTAGATTCAGTTTAACAGCGTGATTCATGAGTAAATCAATAGACATTCATTTGAATAATGAGCCTCATTTAGTTACAACAGCTAATTGTATTATCCATAAAATGGAGCCAATCAACAATCATTGTACACTTGGAAAAGGTTGACTTATTGTTGAGCTTTTTTCCTTCAATCCAAGCTTTTCAAATGTAAGCATTTATCTCAATTAGAGATGAAAAAAACAATTATGACTCTCATTGGAGTAAATTTAAGTGATTATTTAAAAGTCATTCATTTAATTAAGTCACTACAATTAACTGGAAATTGTAAAATAAACAAACAAAATGATTGATAATCCATGTTTAAAAGAGTCTGATTTGTCTCTTTTGCCTTCAATAATCTTTGGTTGCACTTCCAAATTGTTGCTCTTCAATGAAAATTTGGTCATTATAATCAATCTATTTGATCATTTTTCATTTAATTAGGGCAAAGGTAAGACTTGGATGTTAAATAATGATCACATTTAATAAAAACTTAACATTAATAAACTCAGATTGAAACAGTTACCATTATGATTCCTGATAATAAATGTAAACAAGAAAATTAAAATTTTAAAATTCATTCAATAATAACTAAGAGATGGCGCTGACTACTTAATCGGCAATAAATTACAATTTCAAATTTTTGGTCAATTTTCTCGTTAAACTAAATTAATTTAATAATATGCTGTGGTAAAAGATGTCAAAGTAAGTAATTCAATTAGATGTGATGATTATTGGAAGCTGAAAAGCTAATTAAATCCTTAATTCACCGTGATTTGCTTCCTTGTTTTACTTAGCATAATTAGCAGATTGCCCCTCACAACTTGCTATTTAACGGTTTTACAACGGTTTTTGTTTAAAGACGACAATTTGTCCGTTAACTTATTTCATGTTTAACATTTTAGTTTTGGGTTAATTGAATTATTTTTTTGAATTTACAAAATCTTTACCAATCATTCAGGACTTTGTATAACGATTTTATAGACCTCACTAAAAATTCAATGGTAAGTTTCCATTCGCTGTAGTAACTCATTTTTGTGTCCACTCGTTTTGTATCTTCAGGTAAGTTAATTTTGACTATGTGGTCTAATGTTGTTATTTATTTTTCTCCAAATCACCAATGTGTCTAATCTTAGGTGAACCTGCTATTTTCTTGGTCTGTTTTATGTTGTGGACGTTTTTTTCTCGATCAAAGGCTGAGCAAACTTGTCGTCAACAAATTTTTCAAATGACTTGGATGGTAAATTAAATTAGACTAATATTATTAACACAGTAAACTATGAAAATAATGGTGATGAAGTTAAATATTTGCAATGATCATCAAGCGTAACGGTAAAGAAAAGGAGAGAAGCAAGGTAACCTAATGATGCATTTCGAGACAAAAGCCAGGTAAAGTTGCAAGAAATAAACTGGTAATGATGATGAACGCAAAAGGAGAAAAGGCACAAGTGGAAAGTGAAAGTTAGTATGAACAAAAAATGACTTTGATAATCTTCACCTAGTTTCGCCAAATTTGACGCTCAATTTCAAATCCAATCCACTACAATAATAATAATAATAATAATCATTGAAACTTCTTTCATAGATAAACAGAAACCAACAAGGAGGAGGGAAAAGCTGATGATGTTGATGCTGATAATGATGAGGGAAAGGAGGCCAAAAAAAGTGAGTGTTGAACCTATCATTATAAAAAAAAGTTAATGATTGTCGTTTACTTCAATTTGATTTAGAGTAGAGGGAGAATCAGAGAAGTGCTTTTATATTGATAGTTTGATATCAACCAACCATATAAGAAAGGCAAGTTACATAAAGCAAAAATTATCCAAAAAAAGGATCAACAGAGAGAAAGTAGAAGAATCTAAAGTTTTTTTATCTCTTCCATATTACAGGTATTTCAAACTTCCACTCTGGTTAAAACATTTATACTCAATGGTGATATTTTTCAACATTTTTTTTTCTTCGATGAACATTGTTTCCAATAATTTTTTCCCTCCTTTGGTGAAAAGCAGGCGGTTACTTGGGTGAGGCTCCTATTGCTCGTGTTTTTTTATTGCCTCTACTAGGCTTCTTCATTTTCATTTTAAGGTGCTTTTCAAGGAAACTGTTCAACTCCAGAAAGATCACATATTTTTACAAGATGCTGTGGATTTTTTTGTCTCCTACTCTTGCCGAGGGTTACTCTAATGAGAATAGATGAGGATGAAGAAAAGCATTCTTGTGTAAACTGAATAATATCATTCACAATGATAAACATTTCATCTTCACATTTTACTTTTACTTTTTTTCTGCTTCTCTACTGATTTTTTTTCTCCCTCATTCTTTCATTCTCTTTCCAACTCTCCGTCTCTTGCAATTCAAAGGACAAAGAAACTTACTGTTTCTTGTATAAAATTTTTCTTTTAATCTTTTTTTCTTCTCTCTTTCTCTTCCTTTTTCTTGTAGGGAAAACCGTGAACAAAAAAAGTTGATGATGAACTTTATCATGGTTTATATATATTCTATCCCATTCCCTGTCACCTTAACAAATATAAACTTTCTCGCTGACGACAATAATGATGATGAAAACATGAGGTGAAAACTTAGCTCTCGAAATGCCTAACAATCGTTTATAATGCAATCTAAATCCCAAATGGTAAGTTGAACACTCAAGCAGAATCAGTTCAAGTTGAACTTTTTTTTAGTTTCCCTAAATTAATGATTGTCTGATTTCTAATTTAACACACAGATTAATTACATTTACAAGCGTTCCTTTCCCAATATTTGGCTTTGTTTAAAGAGTTGGCTCTGGCAATGATTAAACTCACGGATTGTCATGCATTTAAAGATTTCCCTGTATTTCTATCTGAACAACATGTACAGAAATTTTGTGGCCTTTCAACTTGTACCATTCACAATCAAAATTTATGGCATAAATCACATGAACCAAAGGCAGAAAGAAATTAAGCAATCAAGTCAGGTCATCCAAGTATAAAATGAGCTTATATACGAGTTATGAAAAATGAGTCTCATTGTTTATTAATATTGTTCATCATTCTCGGGATGCCCTTTAATGGTCAAGATATTAACAATGTTTCTTTTCCTCTTTTAGATACAATTACAAGCAAACATTAGGTGAATACCGAAGGAACCATTTTGGCCTTAACATTGTTATTTATTTCCCTTGCTCTCTGTGTGGGTGGGTTTGGTCCGGTTTCTGGTTCCGCTTTGGAAATTGATTCAAATTACTTTAAAATGGTAACCCAACCTCAAAATGTATATAATAGCCAGCTACTAATAACATTGAAGTTACTTGAAAATAACAAGTTAACCAGGTCAAAGTGGTGAATAGGGAATGGCTTTATTCTCATTATGATATAATACAATTTATGAATTAATGCACTAGGATTAAAAAGAGAAATTAATTAACTCTTGTTAAAGATACAACAATCAAGTGATGGCTCCAGATAAACCATTGATTACTATTTCCTCAAAGTCCCATTTAGATGACAGTTAAATAGTTTTTATAAAAATTGATTAATTCACTGTGCAACTCAACCGATATCTTTGATATCGTTGGATCTTTATGTGTTGGCTTTTATGTACATTTTGAGGTGTTTTTGTGTAGGTTATATTTGATTACATATTGTTACATTTAATGGTGTAACAAATGAATCAATACAACAACAATGTAATACACTCAGAAGAGCATGATTTAAGGAAACGATTAGCTTTTTTTTGGCAAAAAGTGTAATATGAAGAAATGAGATTTCATTGAGAAGATGAAAATGATGGAAACAAGCTGGAAATGTAGAGAAATATTGAATGAAATGAATTTAATGTAGACAATTAATTTAATAATAATTCAATATAAACGATAGCAACTCAACTGTTACCATTTTCAATGTTGGATGAAAAATAATGAGAAAAATCTCAATTGAATCAATTCTCATTCAATTCTTGTTCTTTGGTTAACTTCAATTAGCTAAGGTTAACTGAAAATAACTTTGACTTATCAAAAAAAATAAGATGATATTGTTGATCCCATTCAATTATCATCATCTTCTTCCTTCTTTTTCATCATATTTCGCCATGTTAACTCATTCTCTATCCTCCAACGCTCCTCATCATTTTCAATATTTTTGTATTTTCCTCTTTCATGGTCAATGATGATGAATCAATGAAGTCAGGGAGAGAGAGGATAATGAATTGACCTCATCATTTTGATATCAATTGATGAATTGATTGATATAAAGTGTAACAAAAGGCCAAAATGATGGTCAAAACATTGATTTAATTTCTTCTCATTCCAATCATTTTTCATATCAATTTAATTTTTGAACCTTTTCCTTCCTATTACAGTTAAATCGTTTCTTTTTTACCCTCACCTAGTTAATTGTAATCAATTGTAATCAGTGATTATCCATTGTAATACTTGAAGTGTATTACATTTTAAACCTAAAAAGTGACGATTTAATTGTGCCAAGATGAAAAGTGGTAAAAGAGTAGATTTTGATTATTGAAATGGTTTTCATTCTAATTGATTTTTTCTCTTTTTTTCAGGTCAATCAAGAGTCAAATTGGCAAGTTAATTGTTACAATCAAATATTCATCTTTGTTCATCTTTTTACCCACAATTTTGAAGCCAAATTTGGATCCACTTTTCAACCTTTTTGTCAATCAATTTTATTCTGACACAATCCACTCTTTTGGTTCAACTGGAAACTCAAATGTAAATAACGTTACTGGCGTAAAAGCAGCCAAAAAACAACAGTTAAACAATTGTTAATTGCAAGATTGATTTGATGAGAGAATGAATTAACCTCTCTGAATAAGTTAATTTAACAGCTTAATTTAACTGTTGTTTTTTCCCGGTATTTTACTGTAATTACATTTTGGCCTGGATCCAACATTGGAAACAATGTTGACCATTTTAAATTTACATTTATCTGTGTAAACAATTTACTCAGACTAACTTCAATCGTAATTAATGTTTATGTTATCAATTGAATCAAGAGTTTCTCATGTCATCCTTAACCAACCAAGCAAAGTAAACACAGTGAAGGGTAAATCCAAGTGACAAATCAAAATGCAAGGCAACTTTGAACAATTGAATCTTTAAATTGTTTAAAATTTCATTTATTTTTCCATTGATCAGATTTCTTGAGAAAATATTGAAATAACTAAAACAATGATTACAATGAAGACACTTACCAACAACTTGTAAATAAGATTCATCTGAATCGGTTTGAAATGAACCTTCAGCAACAACCTCACATTTATAGATTCCCTGTGAATATTGATTAAGATCAATGAGATCAATTGTCGAGCCATTGGTTAGATTGTCCATGTCAACAGCAACACCATCCAATTCCCAGACTCTGAGCACATTGTGTCCATCTGAAGGTCGATAGCTGATGAATTGAGTTCCATTGTGGTACCATTTAAGTGAATAAAGTGTATCATCTTCATGGTCAAAAGAACAGTCCATGGAAACATCTGAGCCAATCAATGCAGTAAAAGGAACAGTTACCCTGACTGAGCGCAAAGATTCACCCTGATTGACTGCTACAAAGGTAAGATTAATATGAGGAAAAAGAAAAGAAAAGGTTAATTTTTAATGAAAAAATATTTTGCTTTCTTTGGTTCCTTTCCTCTTCTCATCAGAAAATGTAAATTACAATGGAAATGTAAAGTTGGAAAAAATTATTGAATAATGACCGGAAACTGGCCCAATATGATGTTAACCATTTCTCAACTTAAACCAACGGAACAAGAGGAAAACGATCAACGATGAATAAGATGTAACTGGAAGAGCAACAATCTCACGCTGTGCTGTTATAGATCGGGTGTTGTCTCTATAGGCTTTTAAAAGATGCTAATCTTCATCTGCATCTTTAGTCGTTATTTCCATCTCTCTTCCCCTATCTTCATCTTCATCTTGCATTTTGTCTCTCGCCATCTTTTTGTTTTAGTACAACTGCAAAAACGATTTCAGAAGCAGAAACATTGAATGCAACGGGAATGTTGATTGTAATGTTTCTGCTTGTTGCGAATCGCATTTTGCTTTCTAGAAAAGATTTTACTCAATCTTTTTGGTCAGACAAAAGTTTACGCTTGGTCTGTGAATGATGATTATGTTGATGTTGATGATGATGGTGATGGTGATGCTTGGCTAAGATAAGGGATAAAGGATGAGGAATAAAGAGATGAAGATGAGAAACAAAATGCAAGTGTATAAAAGGCAAGCAAAAGGAAGGATGGAAAAGGCAGAAAAGAAGAAGATTTTGCTTTTTCATTTTTGCTTATTTTGTTTTGTTTTTTGCCATCCATTGCCTCTTTGTGTGTGTCTTGTTCAATGAGTAACATGATCCTGTGATTTGGTGATGTTAAGATGAAGAACGGGTCTAAGAGGTTAAGATGATGATGATGAGTAGGAAGAGTTGATGAGTAAAGTTAAAAGAAATGAAAGAATGGCAAAATGATGCGAATTTGTTACATTGTTGAACATTCCTTTTTCATCCAAAGGTTATGAGCAAGAATAAGATAAAGCAAAAAGCTAGTTTTCCAATGGAAATGTAACCATCATCATCAGTATCATCATAATCATCAACTTTGCTTTCACTTTTCCTTCTGTTTTTTTTTCATGATTGTTGAATGAAGAGGCAAAAAGAAAGTTGAAAGATGAAATTTGAATGGTTCAACAATTTACATCCATTGCGACTAGATGATGGGTTGATGATGATAATGATGGACTTGTGAAGAGTGACTTTTCTGGTCCATCTTTGCCTTCAATTTGAGGTGGGTTGATGCAACTTTAAAATCCATTTGGATCAAAAATTCTATTCACCTTTTTCTTCTCTCTCTCTTTCAACAGAAATCTGACAAAGACTAATTACCTGATTTTACACTTTATCGTAAAGGTGAAGAAAATTAAGTGCAAAATGAAACATGTTTCCCTCTTTGGATGATGCGGCTAAAGACAAGTTGAACAAAAACGTATCTAGCAACAGATTTGATGAAGATGAAACTGTTTACCGTGTTAATCTTGTTAGTTAAAACTTGGTTGAATATATTTTCAAATGTTTCAAGTAAACAGAGACTCAATTAAAGGTGAACACGAGTAAACCTGAAATGATGTTCACTTTGCAATCGCATCCTTTACTTGAAAGACAACATCTTATCATTGTAATAATGATGATCCGATGATGGAAATGATTAATCGATAACAATTAATCATGTTGCATGGTCAAGGTTAAAGTGAATCAATGTTACGCCTGGAAAAACTATTATTTTGCTTATAAAAATACTCGCTTCTCAACTTGCCTTTTCAACTGTTCAACTGATGGTCAAATGATTACCTTTTGATAATCATTATTAACAGTCCCACATGATGATTGGTTATCTTGTCAGTTTCATCTTTTTCATCAACATCACAATTTAGATGAAAATATTTTCATAACAAAGTCTAAAGGCTGCTTCATCTTTAACCCAATTCAATTGACTTTACAATCACAAGTTAGATGGTTAAATATCTTAATCAACATCCAGTTTTGAGCAATCTAACCATCTAATTAAAGCGAATACAATTTTGCGCTAAATTGTGACCATCTGTTTGTTTAATGGTAATATTGGCTTTCACTTTGACCATATTAATGGCTCAAGTTGTGTATTAATTTGAAATGATAAATGTTACACTCGAGGGTTAATTTAGTGGTTAAGGCCTGAAAAGGTGAAAGTAAATTTAAAATGTAAAGTCAATTAAATGCTATCAATATGCATTAGCCAGTAATTATTGGGTAAAAATTTCATTTTTACACTTGCAAAGTGTTAATGTCATGTTCAATTGAAGCTGATTATTTTATGGTGACAAGTAAAACAAGGAGGATAAACATGATTATCAGGTTGGATGAAAGCAATAACTTTGACCATGTAAAGATGATAAATGGTGATAAACATCAGTAAATAACAAGTAATCTAGATGTTCATTGACAGTTCATCATGGAAAATGTTTAATCAAAACTTGCCAGCAATTTTGCATCAGAAGCTTGTTTACAAAATCATCATTTAACTTCATGAGTTTCATGAATCTTGAATTTCTTTCATTTGTTTACAATAAATTTCGATTTTTTATGAAAAATTTTCTTCTTTTTGTTCATCATTTGTATTTACTCAGAGATAATTGGTTGATGATTTGTTCATTTTCATGACAATTTTCACTCTCCATTCCAATTCATTATTTATTTGTTGATTAAAATTTCTAAACACGTAAACATGAACAAAGGTTGAATTGATAGTAACGTGACAAAAGTCTGTACAATAATAATAACATGATAAAGTTGAATAATATGGACTGAAGGGAAAGAAAAAGTTCAAATAAATAAATGAATGGAAAATGCTATTGTAATTCAGGTTACTTTCCATGTGACCAATTTTCATGTCATTCAATTCACTCGAGATTCTGAAAAAAAGACATTTTCCTATTCACCTTACCATGTGCTAAATATTAAACACATTGACTATTCACAATTCCAGTCAATAACAAAAGTCAAGTTTAACAAAATGTCAAATGGTAAAGTTTACATTAAAATGTTTCACTTGAGTCACAAATGTTCATTATTTGAGCCTTGAAAGAGTCGATAAAAATTCAAATGATAATTCATTCTATCAACAATTCAAACTTTCATTTTCATCTTTTCACCAAATCTGTCAACACAGAAACAAATTATTGCAATTTTACCATGAATTCACTTCTAATTTCGAGACTTCAGATCAAAATCCTGTCCAGCTTTCATTTCACCAAAAAATCGAATTCAAAAAGCAAGAAATTTTTACTTCGATTAAAAATCGCTGCGATCATCATCGACTTTGAAATAGTTTAATATAAAGAACCTCTTGAGTTACATTCCGATGATCTTGAGCTTGATCATTGATGAGTATTCTTGATCGTCATCAACATCATTTATTCAGAATAGAATTCGAAATTTTGAGCTTTTCTTTTGCTGAATTCAAGTTTCGCTTTTCATTGGATTTCTTGTCAAGTTTCCGATTGATTTGTGAATTCAATTTCTGTTTGATAGTTGAAGATATTTTGGCAAACTTTGTAATCTGAAGAGTTGAATTAGTTTCTGTTTGATTGAATGTAGAAACTCTGATTTTCAGGTTCATTTCATGGAATTGCAAGTTGATGAAATTGAAATTTAATGTTACCAAAAGTCTAATTTAGCATCTGTTTCATCCAATGTCATTCATTGTTATCCATTGTGGCTTCATTTTCATGCATTTCAGTTCAATCATGTAAAGTTAATAGAACATGAAATGAGCGCTTGTTTCTCTTGATGAACATTATGAATAAAAGCGAAACGAAATGAATAAAAGAAACTAATTTGTAGTGAAGAAGAGCGAAAAAAAAGAAACGGAAATGGAAGCAGAAAAAAGAAGAGAATCAAAATAAATATTCTTTTATCATCATTTCCATGAAGACATGGAGACTGAGGATGCAAAAATAAGTACAAATTATTGTACAAGTTGGACCATTGAATAGACAAAAATATTGACAAGTTGAGTTTCGACTGAAACGGAAGTGAAAAGCTACTCAACGAATGAAACGTTTCCACGAAAAGACAATTAGTCTCATTGTGTTATTTACGAGGGAAAAGCAAAGGACAATTATCATCGAGTCCATCATTTCTCGCTATTTGCCTTTTGCCAAGAAAATGATGATTCTCTAGATTCTCATCATTCGCAAGGTTTATAAATAAACAGATACCCTTTTGAGTTGTTACTGGTCACAATTGAAGGCGAATGGAAGACAGAAAGGTCAGGAAAGGTTAAACTCAAAGTAAAATAACCACTGATGAGGATAAAGATGAGGATGGTAATAATGAGTTTGTTACCAGAAGAAACCGAGTTGACTGATGAAAGTCACTGGTTGAGATGAAAAGGGATGTAAAGATGATCAATGAAAGACTTTTCTTTATCATTATTTGCTCGCCATCTTTTCTGATTTATACTTATTTTTTGTCTTCTTTTTCACTCATTTTCTGTTTCATCTCAAATTTCACTGTTGCTCATGCATTTCCAGTCTTTAACTTTATCTACTTCTTAATGTCAATGTCTTTTCAATTGGCAAAGAGATCTGTAAACAGCAGAACAAGTAAAAACTGTAAATCCAAACAAATGGCTTTCACCATGTGTTATCCTCATGTCCAAACTCAACAAGATATTGTTCATTTCCTCAACTTAACTAGCGATTAAAAAAGTCTGCAAAAACTTAACTGTTTTTTGACAAACAAAAAATGACCAATTTTCTTGGTAAAAACAGCAAAAGCTAAAACTGTGCAAACTTAATCTTAATGCTTCTTAAGATTTAACAAGTTAGCAATTTGAAACCATTTCAAGTGAATTTACATTTGACAAAAACAGTGAAAACTAAAAGTAGCAAGAAATGCTTGAATCGCCTTTCAACACTGAAATAAGCAAAGTTGGACAAAAGAGGAAAAGTGAAAAATAAAACTGAATGCAATTGAAGAAGCGTTGTTACGATGTTAAATACCTTTGAGAATGAAATGGATACTTAACCAGGTAAACGTGAAACACTTCATCTGGATGAATGAGCAGAATTTATCATAATATTTGAAACCAAAACGATGCCAAGTTGAAACCGAAGCAAACTGATGAAATTTGACACAAAAAACAAAAGATTATCAATTTGAATAAACACTTTTATCCGTTTCCTAGTTGAGCTTTTTCTTTGACTTTTGATGGAAACTCGATGAAAACTGGAAACTCACCTGTTGAGATACTCTGTTCATTACTGTAATTAGCATTGGCGTGATCAAAATGTTCCATGAAATATGATTCGTTATCATGTTGAACAAAATGAACCTGAATAATTGATGAATAAGTTTCACTTTACCTTAATTAAATTGTTCACCGGAATTCAGGGAAAAACTGGAAATGGTGAAAACATTGATTCATCTTCAAGTGAAAAGTTTAATGATAAGTCAAATGAAGAGGAAATAAATGGCAACATTTTTCATGTTTTTTTGTATATTCCAATCTTGTAATTGATTTCCAGTTGAATAACTTTTCATTCAGCTCTTGATGCAAATAAAAGGCACAATTTTCATGTTCAATTGAAAAGTGAAATGTTGTTCAATATTTAATGAAACTTTATTGTTAAAATTTGTTCAACTTTATTTTCACATTTACAATGAGATCGAGAAAATATTAATATTTTTTTTTATGAAACATTTTATTAAAATGATGATGAATTTGGATGAAACTGTTTATGATGTAAAATAAGTATCAACTATGTCAAAAGTAATAACAATATCTTTGTGTGTTTGTGTGTTAATTGTGATGATTAAAGTGTTGATAAGTGTTTATGTGTTAATCATCATCACCATGGTTTGTTTTTACAGACTCATCAGGCTTCCATGGGACTAGATGAATTAGTTGTGCCATTACCTTCAATGGATTGGCATTGTTAACTTGCATTTTCAGGCCTTTTGTTTGTCTACTTTGCGTGACAAAAGTCACTTTTGAATCGCATTTTGTCAACAAAATTGATTAGTTCATTTTATTGTCCATCTGTTCACAATTTAACTAATCACATTTCGTCGGCGATTCGCAGTTGGACGGTTGTGTTGCTTCAATTTGCTAACTTGGTAGTTTACATGTTAAATTTGATTAAAAACATTTTTGCCATTAATATCGCCATCAATATACTATTACCTGTAATAGAGTAAAAAATGTGTTATTAATCATTCAAAGTAGGGAAATGAAAGTTTACAGATTAAATTAAGCGCTGATGATTTGCTTAACGATGAGTTTAATGTGATTAATCGGGTTATTTTGCATTATTATTGGAACAAAAAACTGTTAAAAACTCAAACTTTGATTATTCGAAAGATTGGGTTCTAATAAAGTTGTGAGTTTAAACTTATTGCTTGATAAATATTTACTGTAAATGCCATTGCTTGAGCGATAAGAGTGATTAAAGCAATACAAGTTTCACCTTTGAAGTCGCAAAAAGTTCAGTTGTTTGAATCTTCACTCATTGGAAAGTACAAGTTGAAACAGTCACTCATTCAACTAGGAAAGGGGCCTAAAGTGATACGATTTTGTAAATGTTAGTCACTCAAAGTGATAATACGTTCACCTAATCCTTATTAGACAATAAAAGATTTTTAAAATCACTTTAATAAAAATACCCAAATTTTAAACCCAAATATCTCAGGAACCACTTCCACAAAACCTCGACAGTTTTTCATAACTCATCGTCATGACATCTCATTCGTTCAAATCGGTTCTAAGTCTTCGGGTCTATGTCAAATAGTCCTTGTAAGTCCCTTTCCCCTGTAAAATTATGATCATTATCCTAACAAATTGACCGAGATAATAAAAAACTAAGATTCTGTTTTCTCTGATACCAATTACTTTGGCACAAACTTGGCTTATTATATAATAAATTTCATCAACTGACTAAATTGTCTCTCGATATCTTAAGCTACAGATTGCGGTACCAAGATCACTTTGATGAATCCTAATGAACATAGAATTTCTACATTTTAATTTTTCTTTCAATGATTAATCTTTGCCATTTTTGGTTACTATTCTGACTGCAATCAAGAGCTGCAACAGCTTCATCAACTGTAACCAATAACTTGAAAAGTTGGTTTGATCCTAATAGGCATTCAACTTGTTATAAAGTGAAAAATGGTCATTTATTGTTGTCCAATCAAAAATACTAAATGCATGACAGAATGACATTTGTTTTAAAGATGAAAAAAAGACAACTTCCGATTCCATGTTATCAGTGATATTTGATGATGAAAAAAATGATCTTTTAATTGGAGGCTATTATGATAATGTAATAAACTGTTTATCGTGACCGTTAAATAGATGAACGTGACTTTTCAATGAACAAAAAGTAAGATGATAAGAGTGATAAGAGTGATGGTGAAGACGATGAGGATGCTTCTGTTGATGCTTATTCATTCATCAAATAAGTTTCTCATCATTTTTCCCTTTACTGTGAGAGACGAAGCCAACACAGGATAACAGTCTGGCTACTGATCATCTTATAAAGATAACACCTTTTCATCATCATTATCATCTTTCCCTCTCTTTCCTCCTTCCTCTTACCCTGTCGAGGGAAAACAATAAAAATTATCTTCTTTCATCTGTAAAAGGTGACCATCAAAGGAAAAGGTCATCTTAATTAAATTAATTAAAAAAGTCCTCTCATCATTCCCAATTCAAATGATAACTTTTTTCTCCTCTCTTCATCCTCTCTTCCTCTTTAACCAAAAATAATAAAGATGATGAATCCACCCAGTAATTAACTCTATTCATCATTTGCATCTTTTCATCTTCACACATCAAGTAAGACAAAAAAAGTTTGATTCACATCAGCATCTTAATTAACCTTATTTTGTGACATTTTAAACTTACATTTGTTGCTCGATCCATTTGATTTGCTAACAATTTTCTGCTGATTCCATCCTGCAATGAATAAAAAACTTGATTAATAGTCTGAACAATTTTCTCATACATCCATTTGTTCATTCAAACTTCGACTTTGAAACTCTCAGAGGAGCGATAAATTTGATGCCATTTTTACCTTTTATCAGTCAATGACAAAAACAAATCAATAATGAATTGAGACTGAAAAAGATTGGAAATGGTGAAACTTTTGATTTCATTTGTTTACTGAGTAACTCTTGCTCGATAAATGATTAAACATTTGTGCCATGATCATGATACAAAATGATGAGCATCATCCTCATCTAAGAGAAGATGAAAAGATTTGAGGAAAAGAACATTAAAATTGCTCTTTAAGATGAAGAAGAGCTTTTCTTTTAAGGCTTGTTACCTTTACCTTTTCATCTTGTTTAAATCCTGTTAAGAGGATGTAGGTGGTTGAAGGTAAAAGAGAAAGTTTCCCTTTGCAATATTATCTTCCATTACACATATTATTATCATCATTATTTTTTTACCTGTGCAAAGTGAGGCAAAATATTACCTGATGAAGCAACAAAATGGTAACTTGAAGATTACCTTTTTCCAGTTTTTCGCATAAAAGATTAGGTTAACTTTTTTACATGTTATCAGGTTACAGTGGGAAGACAAAAAAAGTCACAATTTTACCTGTACAAGTTGACACTTTTTTTGCTTTATTAGCGACAAGTTTTTTGTTTCAATCAAAGTGGCTTCACCTTTGGGTCGATTTCAAGGTTTTTGGTTTGTACTTTAACTTGTTTTTACTTGTTTGGACACAGATACTTAAACCTTTCAAAAGGTTATTTTTAGCTAATTATTTTGTCTAAAAAGTAAATGCAAAAACTTTGACTTTCGAGTTAGAAGTTGAGATTCAGTAGACTTTAAGAACTTGAAAATCAAGTTCGTTTGTGCAGTTGAAAAATTTCTGATCTCGAGAAAATCGAGTTCTAAGTTGAAACTTTAACACATTGCATCAAATGTCGGTATACCTAAATTAGCTCAAACAGCACGCAATGAGACGAATAAAAATGATAGAAATCTTAAATGAAAAATTCCAAATTGCCAATTCATTTTTCAAATTAATTTTCAAATTTTAGGTAAAAACGCTATTTCAAACAAGCTAATTAAGCCACTCGAAAGATAGTAATATTTTGGGCCAGAAAATTCGTCCCAGTATTGACACGTTGTTTCAGAGAAGGACATTTCACCACTAATGGTTTTGTACAGTTATTGGACCAGATTTTGTCATCGAATCCATTCCAAGCTTTTAGATATTTTATGATCTAATCTAATCATAAAACTTATCAGTCAAGATCAATTGTCAATCTCATTGCATTTGACGCTTGCTGTTGGTTGTGTTCAACTTTGAGTCAACCATTTGGTGAGCTTTGAAATACAAATGTATAAGACTAGGTTAGGTTCGGTTAGGTTAGGTGCGATTAATGGGTTAAACTTTATCAAATATCAACTATTAATCACAAGTGTGACTTATCAATTTGTTTTGATAATGCAAAATAACCTAATGATGTAAAGTCATGAGTCAACTTTGATTCTTGACTAAATTGATATTAATTTTTTCTTCTCTGTCAATTACAAGTTTAACAGTGTTATTCATTGCTTGATGAGTCTAACACGTCTTGAAATTGAACAACAAATTGAACTTTAATTTGGTGTAAACATGTTGAAAAGGGAAAATTGAGTGAAGAGAAAATTTCAAGACTAAAGATTGAATGAGATTCTGATTTATGACATTCAATAGACAATAGAATCTTAAAGATGGTGATTATGATGATAATGAGGACGATTATCGAGAGAAGATGTAATTTATCAAAGTTTCATTTCTTTTACTCTCTTCATCCTCAGTTTCAACTGCATTTATATACCCTTTGAATGATGATGGAAACGACTAAACTGTCAGATTATAAGAAAAGGTTAAACCAAACAAGGGCTTAACTTTTCCAAGTTGACAACAATAAAAGGCGCAAAAAAGAGGATGAAGATGAAGAGGAAAAGCGATGAAATGAGAAATGAAACGAATACGAATTTTCATCATTTTTCTTGATCATCATTACCATCTCCAGGCTAAACAAGTTAGGAATCGCAAAATGAAAACATTTGGAAGTCGAATAAAAGTATTTAACGAAAAAATGTCAATAAAATGATTAATCTGGATTCAGTCAATTGTATGATTTATATCATATGATTCCATGTTTCCCTGACCCAACTACAATCTTTCACGATTCAATCTTCCATTCTGGTTCACTTGAGGTGAAATCTCAATTTAACTCACAATCCAATTAAGGTTAACATTGGCGAGCAAACCAAGAAAAAGAAGCAAAAAATTAACCCTTTTCATGGATCCATTTCTCACATTTGCCAAAACATTAGCTTAACCTTTACCTTCATCTGTAGCATCTGAATCTCGACTTCAATTTACATCAAAATTTTCATAGATTTTTGTTTCTCCTTCATTTTTAAATTTTTCATCTTTTCTCTTAAAGGTGTGTTCTTTGATTGATTCCCATGCAGTTTACTCATTCAAATGGGAAACAATCAAAGCCCGTATTTATCAATTATACATCATTTAATCAAAGTGCACAAATCAAACAATCAACATCAGATCAATAACCAACGCCTATTCACAATGAACTTGAAATGTTTCGTTCATTGAGCACAATTCATAATGTAAGCTAATGGTTATTGCACTTGAGTCAGTTGAATAGTTTATCACTTTTTTTACCCCAAAAATGATTATTAGTTTAGATGACCGTTGGGTGTTGCAAGGTGAAAAGCAATTGATGGACTGCAAGTTATCATTACCAGTGCTTTCATCGACCAAATCTTGGGTCATTTTTACTTCTTTTTGGGTGGCCTCAGTGTAACTAGGTCAATACCAAGTAGCAGGCGGATTTAACGTTTAAACATTTGATAAAGGCTATTATTATCCGAGTAGACAATATAATGTTGAGATATTTCTTCAACTCAAATTTTTCTTTCTTTTCTTGCGTTTACTGACGCTTTAGATACATTATATGGTCTTTAATGGCTCAACCTAAATATTGTTTTTCTCAATTTTAAGCTTCATTCGATTAGGTTTGAAGAGCGAAACAAAATGAACATTTGCTTTTTTCTGACAGAATTAAGGTGAAAGAAAACACACAAATATCATTCAATTTGATCTGCTAATTAGTTGATTTGATTGGTGAAACCTACACTTAATCAAATGCTTTTCATCTGCAAATCAATTTTGCCATTTCCAATGTTTCCATGTTAAATGGTTGCTTAAATATCAACTTCAGATGTTGCGTTGGAATGCTTATCAGAACCAAATCAATTTTAGTCAGAAAAGTTATTAGTCCAAATGAAGCCGGCAAGATCGATGGCTTTTCACTTTGATTTATAGTTTGAGTAACAACGAAAAGATTGAACAAGGGTCTGAAAATGGCTGAAGAGACTGAATTTTGCTAATACAAGTTTTTGAGTTCTTGAAATTTCGAACAAGTCTTTGATCTTTTTTCTGATTCTGTAATTTAAGGTTCGATTTTCGTAACAATGCAAAATAACTTTGATTCAACAAAGCTCATCACCAAGTGTGTTTGTAAAGTGAATTAGATGTTGAAGGTAACTTGAGTTAACTTTAGGTTCACTCTTTGACCTGACGTTTGCCTTTGAAGAATCAATCAGGTTTCGTTTTGAATAGTTTTTTCAGTTTCACTTGCTATTCCTTTGATGCAAAAAAGAACCAGATGAATGGACATCTCCTTTTGATCATCTTTATCTTCACTTTTCTTGCAACAATGACCAACATTAGACAAGATTGTTGCCATGAAAATTGACTGCTGATGATAATCGTCACCATTGTTATCTAGTGTTGATGACGTTTAAGTGACAGTAAAGGCAAAAAAAGCAAATCATTTTGACAAGGTTGACATTCATTGAAACACATTCTAAGGGTTGATTATATTGGCTGAATAGAAAGTGACCAAAAAATTGGATTCAAATGATACAAAAGGATTGGGAAGAGAAAAAAAGATCAGCAACAAGGAAAAGGATAACCACATTCACAGTTTCATGAGCACAACATGATAATAATGAAGATGAGGTTTGATCCTTTTTTTCACCATTTCATCCTCAGCTTGGGATGAAAGTGAAACCAGTAAAATGAGAATCAATTCAAGAGTAAACCAAGAAAAAGGAATGAAACTTTTTTCTCTCTTAATCCATGTGAATGCAAAAATAAATCAGGAGAATCATGAAGAATGATGAAGAATCAGCAATGAACATAAATATTGTCATATTGTTATCTTATTGATACAAGTTTGACATTAATTGATGAATCTGTTAAACAAAGATTATCGTTTTGGTTTTGAGTTTCAAGAAATTGACGTTTAAAAATGTAAAACGATTTCAGAAATTAGACGATCAGGAAGAAGATGAAAGTGAGAAGAAACCAGCAAATCTGTCATGATGATTCAGCAACTGATTTGTAAATGTCAATAAGAGCTTCGATCCATTTTTGGATTCAATGAAGAAATTTTTCGTTCCAACAGAAACTCGAAATTTTCTGCATTTCCAGCAATTTATTTCATCTTACATCGAACCATCAACTACAGGTAATGAGAACGAAAATGGAAAAATGACAAAAATCAATTCGAAACTTTTGATGGCAAAAGTGCTTTCATTATCGACTTTTGATTTCGCTTGAAATGGCATTTGGAAAGTGATTGAACGGTTGCTATCAATTGTAATAAAAGTTGATTTGAAATAAACATTAAAAGTCTAATCATTCAATTTCATGATTATACATTCATTGGAAAGTTGAAATTGCAGTTGAAAGATGAATTGAATGTAAAAGTAATTAATTTAACAAGTTTATCAAATTGGCTTTTGCTGTTGACAATAAATTTGTTGCTCATTGTTGAACTCAAACTGTTTTAGTTTTGATTGAAGACTCAATCAAATTGTCTGTTTACAGTGAAAAGCCTTGTCACTCCTTGATCAACTTTCAACTGATCTCAACCTTATATCATGAATAATCAATAACAATTATCAACAGTTTATTACAAATAGTCATTTATCTTAATTTTAAAATTTGCATTTCAACATGAAAACTGTCTGAATCTTTAAATCTCACAAGGTGAGCCAGGTTATCAAGTCAACAATTTTTGAATAGCATTTAAAACGTTTAGTTGTATTAAAACGTTTAGTTGTATTACTTGAAATAATTGACTTTGAATTTAATTTTAAAAAATAAACTTTTTTTCGCCTCAAAATTGTTTACAGCGGAAATGATATTGAATTTTGTTGCTGTTTATCAATTGAAAGGTGAAAAAAAGGTAAAAAATTTTCATACTTTTCTTGTTGAATTCACAGTTGGAGGGAAAAAGATGAGGTTGAAAAGGAAAACGGAAATTCATGTTTTCCAAGAAACATTTTCAATCAAGATTATTGGTGATATCACTGATAAATGAGCTTCTATTGCTTGCAGTTGAACTTTATTAAAAACTAATTTCAAGTGTTTTGATGGGCAACTACAAGATGAAACTTGTGAAAGTAACACTTTACCATCAATTATCAACTGATCCGGTTTTGTGGTTAAAAGCGGTTTTCACAATCAATAGACGATTGATAAACATGATAATGAATTGAGAGATGAAATGAATAAGATGATATTGATTAAAGTGTTTTTACTTTCATTTGGAAATAATGTAAAAGTAAAATTGGTGAAAAGCAATTCATAGAGAAACTGATTAACAATAGATTTCCTGTACTCAAATGGAAACACCGATTGGCCTAACCTTATTTACCCAACCCAGGTAACTCTCATTATCATCCGGTTCTAGAGACGTTATGTTAACTTGCAAGGTTATCATTCACCTTGTTTCATCTCTTCTTAGGGATTGGCTTTTGGTTCATCATCTGATAATCACTTGTGATGGAAGATTTGATAAATGACAAAAATTTGATTAAAGTGTCGACCTTGCTTTGGTTGTAGATTGATCAGCTTATTTTGCATTATTTTGTGACAAGAAATGAATTACATTTGAAACAACTTGGAAACAACTCATTTGATTGCAAGAGCAAATTGGTGTGTCTTATAAGTTAATCATTAGGTCATCTTGTAAGATAATAACCTTTGCAACTTCGTGACTAAAACTGTAACCTTGATCAATTGAATCATCATAGGTGTTATCACTTACAACTTAATTGCGCTAATCTCAACTCTCACTCACTTTAAGGCTGGTGGACTTGTTGACTATGATTAGGTTTTATGCATTCCAGTGAATGAACAAAACTCAAATTGGACCACTCATCGAAACCTAACGTGCCCCTAACGTGATTCGAACCAAATTACCATAAACCTTTGCAAGTCACTTAACCCCTGCGCCACCGTAGCTAGTTGATATTACAAAATTTCAATTTCAATCAAATCAAAAATGCCTCTTCCTTAAACCCTAAAATCTAAGGAACCACTAAATTTAAAGAAAAAAGATGCTCGGTCTTTTGATATGTAAGCTTGGCCTATCGATTGCACTATGTCTTATTCAAATCCCGCAGGTACAGTTTGGGAAGTTCCCTTGTAAGTTGATGAACCTCGATGCTAGCTTGAAGCTAATAGTGAAAGCAAGTTGTGCAGTCTTCTAATGCTTTTGGAATCGTTCGAATCGAAAGTCGAAGCAAATTCTCTCAAATGCAAGGTTTTTGATCAGAATTTCATCAATGAACTTCCCTTTTGAACGCAACTCAAATCAATTTTGAACCATTTTTTCAATGTGTTTCGACTGCATAATCGTTGTGATAATTATATCGCTTGCAGCTTGACCGATTGGTATTATGTGCTCAACAGCAAATTCAATTTCAATGTTATCCATGTTGCTGCAAAAGTAATTTCTTGTTCGGCAAATATCTGAATGTAATTTAAAGTAGCAGTTGAAGATATCGTTAAAGTACACACAATGTTTTAAAGTGAACAGAAAACTTTTCCCATTTCATCTTTTTTTCAATAAAATCATAGTTAATTCTGTTGCAAAGCTTGCGGCTATTTGCCCAATGATTGAAATTGAAAGAGTGTCATTGCTCTACTTTTCGTAATTTCACGGTGCCTTTAAATTGTCGAGAAAATCTCTTCATCTCTCATCATGCTGATGAATGAATTTTTGCCCAGTTTCACTGAGTCTTGCCAAACGATGAAACTTATTATCACCTAAAAAACATTGAGAACTCAAATTGAATGGTTATTTACTCAAGGAAAGCAAAATGGGTAAATACAAAGTTGGAGTTACTTATTTTTTGCTTTCCTTCAAAGTTTAACACAAACATTAGTTACTGTAAAGATGCTTGTTTAACCAACAAGGGAGTAAAAATAGTTGAAGCTGTTTACAGATACATTTTCACCTTGCTCATGAGTTTTCCTATTGACAACTCAACAGATTATGATGATTAAACAGCATCAATCAAGGTTTACTTTTGTCACTTCTCATCTCACATTCGTTGGACAAAAATGTCTCTCAATATTATCTCAATAGATTATTCAGTTTATCCTCATGATGGATTGACGTCAACCCAAAGAGTGAAGTTTTAAGTCAAAGTTAACTTAAAGTTGCCCTGAAAATTGAAACACTTTTCTTACATTGAATAATCTTCTCAGGTGATGATAATTATTGCTATTAAACTTACTCTTGATGCTACTGATGAAGATTCAGAAAGATGAGCAAAGTTAAGTGAATTTACCTTTTAAGGAATAAGAGTGGGAGTTAGCTTGAGGTGAATAATGATTTTGAAAGGAAGAATAATTTTGCAGATTTTTTCAGGTAAAAAGTAATTTTCACTTTTCCATTTCAACAATCATCTCAATTTGAATAGACACCTAATTTTGGTCTTTTTTTTCTTTCTTTGTGTGTTTCACGTTTCAATGAACAAATTTGAATTTATGATGAGTTTGTTTTTGGATAATTTGGTGAAATTAACATTTGATTCTTACCATTGGTCAGGGTCAAGTTCCTTGTCACACTGTAATTTGTATCCGGAATGGAAAGATGACATTGATAATGAACTGATTGTCCATCATTGTAATCATCTTCATCAATTGAACCACTTGATTCAATGCTGTATTTACCCTGTTCACCAGTAATTACCGTGTAACCCTCTTTGCTTATCTTCACTCTACTTGGTCCACTCGACTTAAAGGGTTTGTTCAAACGGTAAAGCTCAACCACTGGACTTGGATAGAGCCCGGTTGCTCTGCATAAAACAGTTGATTCATTATAAGCTCGGAAACTAAAAGATTTAGCTGGAGCTGAATGGACCGAATAAAGATAAATCGTTAGTTGAGTTGAAAAAGAGATGAAAGGAAATTTGATCATCGAATCGAAACTTTGATCAATTTTCTTGAAACGAATCAAAGTTGAATATTGAACTTGATTCGCTTGCAAGTTGTTTTGCTTACCATAAACTATTAGCTTAGCGCTTGCTGAATCTGAGCTTTGAACAGACGAAATTGTACATTTATAGTTTCCTGAAAGTTGTGTTGTTGGTTTAATCAAACGAATGGCTCGATGTTCAGTTAGCTGATTGTCAACTGTGAAATCTGGATCAATGTGGCGACGAATCTCTTCTGAATAAGATCGTTTTCTTAAAGCAATTATCCATTGATAAACTGGCCTGGGATTATCATTAAAGTACCTGTTATATTAAAAAAGACAAAAGACGAAAAACAAAAATTAATAAGTGATGAAAGGTGAAGCAGAGATGAACAATAAGATGAATTAACGAGTTTATCCAAAATAGGTAAACATTAACCTGAATAGTTTTATTAATATTTTTGGCAAATAATGCATATCATTAACTTAATTGCACATTGAATCAAACTCATCATTATCATTGGATTAATGAAACAAAAAGAAATGAATCTCGCCACATTCACATAAAACAGGAACAAAAATCAAATAACGACCTTATGCCAAACAAATCAGTCAAAACAAAAGATTTCGCAAATTCGTTCCCAAACACTTCGAACGATAAAAATCCCAAAACTAAAGACAACAATTACAATCCTTCATCGTTACAAACTACCACAGCATAAGCACCAGTATCCAAATTGAATGCAGCCCAAGTATCAAAAGTCGAAATCAGAGAAAAACGAAGTTCGACAAACAACTCAATAAGATCTCAACACTGGCACATCGAGTCCGTAAAGACCCAAAACAAGCATAACAACATATCAAGCATATGTAACCGAACCTCAGTCAAACCAAACTCAAGTTACTGAGGGAACTTTTGGATTACAATAAAGCTTTTAGAAATGATTCCCTTAATTTGATCGAAAACTCTTCTGTTCGAATCGCCCCTTTGATAAACTTTTTCAACTTAACTCGATTTAAATCTGATTAAGATGTGTGTTTCATCGAAAGTTTCTTGCTTTAAACTGGACAGAAATCTTGGAATGCAAAGTTTTTCGCTTTTAAAAATTTCTCCATATTCAATGTTATGTTGGCACATATAGCAACACCCAACCCTGAAACATGTAACGCATTTTATTGGCACATTAAATATGATAAATATCTAAACCCACACAGAATTTCGATCATTTCTTCTCTTGTTCATTAACTAACTATTATTACCATTACTATTAACGGACTACCATTTATTACGGTAAAAACGATTAACGCAAAAACCAAGCCTAAAACAAGTTCCAGTTCGTTTATTATTTTTTAATATTTAACAAGTTAACAATAACAAACCTTTATTAACTTTTATATTTAGTGCAACATTTCAATATTTAATCAGGTTTTGTGTTTTCTTTTCATCAGGTAAATGGTTAGTAATTTGGGTGAAAAATCTTTGATTGAATTAAGAAAATTAAATTACATTCAGAACGTTTATTAATAATTTGAATGTTTCTTCTTTTGTTTATTTCATCTTTCATTATTCACAACTTTTCTTTCAGAAACATTCAGATAAACATTAACTGTCAATGTTTACTCATGAAAAAGATGATGCATATAAACTTGTAATTAGCCAAACAGGTTCAACTTTCGGATAAAATTATTAATCATTTTCGTTGCATTCCTCCAAAGTGTCAGCTATTGATATCATGTTTTAAAACAAATAAACGGGAAAAGTTATAAATGGATAAATAAATATTGAAATTGGCCAAACATTTATGGATAAAATATAAAACAATATTTATGGATAAAAGTTCAACAAGTCAGTAGTCATTGGAAAAGTGTTTACTAATTTCATGTTTGAAGTTAATGTCAAGTCAAATACTCATTATGTGAACAAGTCCGTTTATTTGCTCAGATCGAGTTCAATTTTCAAATCACTCAACTCCATAAAGTTTATTCAAAACTGTGATTATATTTAACTTGAAAATAGCACTTTACATTTCAAGAGTTTTGAACTCTTCGAAAAGTGTTAACGCACTTTTCATGTTTTCCCATTTTACAAGTCAAATGGCTTCGATTGCAATCAATTTCGATGTCTTTGCAGGAGATCAATCAGTTCTCGTATTTGAGATTGAAAGTTGTCCAAAACTCTAAGCATTTAAACTTGTTCAAGTCAAATTTTCTCAATCTTCTGCAAGAATTTTCTAAATGAGGAAAGCGTGTCGTCTAAGTGATGCTGAAATGAAATGCGACCAAAGTCGAAATGTGGTTCTAACGAAAACTGGAATAAAAGATTCTTGGCATTTAGACTATTGAATCAGAATTAATCGTCCTGAAGTTGACTCAATCTTATTAGTCGTACAGTAGTTGCTTAGTCTTTGCATAAAAAATTAATGTCATTAAACAGTAACCAATGAGTAACTGAACTATTTTTAACCCTTTTGGCCATGAGACTGAGTTAGTCATCAAGAACTGAGGAAATTCCGAAATATTTGTTTTAAAAATATACTTTTTTACTTTCTAGTTATTAAAACAAGAGCAAGCTATTGATCAACATTTACTTTGACGCGACTGAGTTTTACTCAATATTTCATCAATAATTAGTTTGGTAATCAGTTTGACGAAACTTTTGAAAAGATTTTGAGTATTTCCACCAAAGTTGAGATTCTGTAGTCAAAATTGGCTTGTTTACTGAGAATCAGTGTTTTCTGAATAATGCAAAATTAGCAAAAAAGAATATTTTTTGTGAATAAAAAAGAAAACTCGAAATTTGGAAAAATTATTGATGAGTTGTGAGAAGCAAAAGTTGAATTAGATTGCGCCTTGAGCATTGAGAGTAACAAGATATTGGTAATGATGGAAATACAAATGAAGAGGGAAACATGAAAACATGATCATTATGTAAGCAGACAAAAGGGTTCCTTTGATTTTCATCTGAAACAAGTGAGAAAAGGTGGAAAAGTGGCCAAACAAAATGAACAAGTAACATGATAATATAATTGTGAACACAAATTGGCTCAATTAGAAGTCAACTTTTCCCAGGAAAGGTCAAAATTTCACTTGAAAACTGACCCAACAACGAGCAATATCAACGAACAGTGAGAAAGGGAAAAACAAGGAAAAGATTAATATTACATTTTTAGGTGTTTTCACCAAAAAAGCAAATCATTAGCAAATTATGTTCAATATCATTGTATTTTACTCTTCATTTGGCCATTATTTTCATGCTCAATTACTGTTCCCTTCACAGGTCAAGGTATCGTCAATTGTCACAGAATTTCAAAGTTTTACAAAAAGAGAAACTTTAAATTCGATGTTCTTCACTTCTGAAAAGAATTGAGTTTTGAACTGTTTTACAACTTTTCTGATTTCATGATTTTCTTTACTTTAAGTGTTAAAATTAACAACTTAGCATGAGGTGATGAGTTGATGTGAGATGAGTGATTAACGATTTGAAATGAATTGGCGAAATGAGCTGATAATTAATGATGATTGTGGTCAAAAGATGGTTATTACAAGTTAGTCGATTAGCTATTAATGTTGAGTTTAATCGTTTAATATCGAGTGGGAGTAAGTCATCTTTGATCATTAAACATGAAGCACTGGGATCGCATCACTTGACCCTGTCAATTGGGTTAATCTTGTTAGTAAATTGCTCGCAATTGGCTTAACATTGCTTAACGCCAATGATAATAAATCAGGTCAATAATCAGTAAATAAGCTCATCAAATATCTCGAAATTTAAATATTCAAATTGTTGCCAATTTTTGTTAACCTTTTGCTTACACTTTTCATCTTAATTCGAGGTTCGCCAGATTAGCTGACTTTCAGTGGTAAACCTTGTTCGAGTTGGCATCGTTAGATGAAGTCAGATGAAGGTGAGGAAGAAATTGAACAAAAATTGTCTTTTTATTAAACTTTACATGCTTATAATTGATCAACAAATCGTCTAATTGAAACTGCAAAATTGAATTTCAATGCTTAAGGTAACTTTGAAAATTAACATTTTTACTGACAACTTGCTTTGCTTGCCTTTTTGGCCAACTTCATTAATGAGTTTTGCTCAGTCAAATATTCATAGTTAAGGCAAAGCGAGAAGCAATTATCTTTAATCAATTTAGCTCAAGGCACAACAACATCTTACTCGAAATGCTTTACTCGTTGTTTATGGACGAACAAAGTTCAATTCTTACAAGAATTTTCATTCTCCCTGATCGCAACTTTTACCTTTACTTTTATCCTCTTCAATTACCTGATTCACTTGGTTTTCATTTGAACCACAAAAGCAACACAGATAAATACAAGTCAATCATGCTTCAAGCCTTTTCAAAACTCGTTCTCTAATCGAAACCAGAAGAAAGGTTCAAACAATTAGTCGAAACAATTCCAAGAATAAAGTGTCAAAAATGGAAAATGAGCTTAAAATTGTCAACCTCTGATAAAGTTTATCCACTTTTATCCAGAACAAGAATAATGTCAGAAATGAGTAAAAGCTTGTTCAATCATTTTCCGATTTCATGTTCCAAACAAACTTTTACCGGCAAAACATCAAAGTTCAACAAATCAACTTTTCTTCCGAGATAAAAATTCGTTGAATAAGAGAAACTTTTTCGATTCGCTTTCCATAACTTTAGAGCGAAAATTATGAAGAATCAACTTTTCGAATGAGTTTGCAACAAAAGAAACTTTGGAAAATCGAAAGAAAATCTTTTCTAATATCGAATATTTTGACGATATGAATGGAAGTTACGAAGAAATTTGAAGATGCGATGAAACTTTGAGTGCTTTTGTGAACAAAATTGAGTGAAAAGTGGAAAATCGATAAAAACGTTTCGAACTTTTTTTCAAAATAAAAGTCTAAATTGAAAGGTTTTGAATCAAGTTTGAACCTGAAAACTCATAATGAACCCTAATTTATCTGTCAACATGGCTTTACAATGTTGACAAAAGAAGCTCAAGTTGTTCAAGAGTTGTGTCATTTGTTGTCGCAAAATTAGCGTCAACTTTCACTGATCATAATGGGTTGCAGTCTAACAAGCTATTAACAATTGGAAAGCTTTTCAAGTTGAAAAGAGCAAAAATCTCGAGCAAAGTTTTTGTGAATTTGAACAAAAAAAGATTCACATAAAATGATTATTACAATGCATTATTATACAAAAGCTTGTGAATTTTCACATCCAAATTATGCTCTGAAAATGAAGGTACATGAGAGGAAATATCATGTTCAGTATCAAAACAGAATCCTTATTATTCACATCTTTTTGTTACCCTTACCGGTTCAACATGATAATAACAATTTAACTTCCCTCAGGGAACATTAGTTTTTTCAGTCTTTCTCTTCCATTCGCCAAATCAAATCAAATTTCCTTATTTTTGTTCATCATTTCATTATGCTCATGATAAAAGGTAAACTTTGCGTCTCTTTACCTTTCCTCTCATCGCTCAGCTAAAAAGGTTATTAAAAGCGCAAAACTGAAAACTTATTCATTGGTTAAACATTGACTGATTCTCATTGATTGGCGTCTGTCAATTTTGTTGACCTGAATTGTGATTAATAATCGTAAAATGCGATGATTGTTATTATTAGAAGGAAGATTAGAGGCAAATGATCAGATAATGAGCGGTGAAGAAGGAGAAAAGAGGCGAAAAATTTTGGAAAGATAATCATGAAAATGAAAGGATAAAAATTCAGAGATTGATTAGTTTGACCTAAACCATTTAAAAATAAGTTTAAGAGGAAGAATTGGAAACTTGGCTAAGGGAATGAGCTGAGCATTTATCATGTTGATTGAAAGATGATGTTAACACTTAAGGTCAAGCTTAAGCTCTCTGTCATTCAAATTAAACCTTTACCTTTGAGCTATTGAAATGTATCGAGATGAGCTGGATGATAAAAAGGTATTATGATGATGACTAGAAGCATCTGGATTTGGGTGGGCATCAAGATTGATGCTTTAAATGGACGTTAATCAGAGAAGATGAAAAGTTGCATCGTTTAAGAAGAGATGGAAATTATTAAAAAGATGGCGAAAAATGATGATGACTTGGGAAACAAAAGAGACAACTTGGACCGGAAGATGTTCTTATCAGAAGCGCAAAACTGTTTAACTTGATTGTTATTGTCAAAGTTTGGTCATAATGATGAAGGTGAGGCTGTGATAAGGTAATAAATGGTGAGGCGTTAAGAGGATATTTCCATCTCCACCCGAATGTGGACAAAAAGATATCACATAATGGACGGTAAAGACGTGCAATGAGCTACCTGAAACGTCTAGAGTTTATCAAATGGCGAAAAAAAAGTTTAAATTCTGTTGACAGAGTTGATGCTGTGTTAATAGCCGACTATAATGGTTGCTAGTTAAGTTAGTAAATTGGATTTAAGTTTTTTTTCTTCTTCTTCTTCTTGAGATGATAATGATGAGTATGGCTTAATGTGTGTGTGTGTTTGTACAGTGTTTGTGTGCTAATTTTGAAACTTAATCTGTTCGTATAATGGAACATTTAGATTTTTTTAATTTTTTTTCTTGTTGAGGAATGAAAATTAAGAAATCGTTGGACTAACCATTTCATAACGAGATTTTCTTCTAATGGATCAAAGATAAAGTTGCAGTCTAAGATTACTGATGAAGTACCATTTTCAACGGGTGAAGTTACATTGAATGATATTATTTGAGCAGCTTCAACTTGGACAGTCAACAGTCCTTCAATATTCAAGGGCATTTGTCGTTGTCGTAGGTTGATGGTGTGGGCCAAGCCAAGGTGTCAATATTGATTGGGAAGGAAAAGAAGAACAAGAAAAAAGGGAAAAATGTTTTGCTTATTGTAATACTTTTTGCTAGTCGTGATCAATGTTCAACTTACCCAGTAAAACTAGATTGATTGTGATGATTTGTTTCATTTTAAAGGCACAGTTAAGGCACAATTGATGTTCATAGACTTGATTCTTGAAGAGTTGATGGATGTTCAGAAAGGTGAAGATGAAAGATGAAGATAAATGTTTAGGCACGAGAATAAAGATTGATAAAGATTATCCAAGGCAGTGTTACAGGTAGTCATTACATGAATCACAAAGAAAAGGGTGAAAAAGTTGACACAGAAATATGAAAGTTTTTAAGTTGAGAGATAAAAAGTTTTGTCGAAAAAATTTGTTCATCAAAAAGTAACCAAAAAAAAGATTGACAGATGGACGGTTGATTAACACACAATCAAGAGACGTGATGAAGGTGATGGTTGTGGTTGATGGTGGTATTGATGGTTAGGTAAATTGGTGGTGATGTTATGAATGATTGAGAAAGAAAAGAAAGGAAAGAGTAAAAAAAGATTGGTTTAGAAAGTAAAAAGTATGGAGAAAAAAGATGAAGAAAAAAAAGAAAACTTTTCTGCTGATCTTCTCTTCGGAACATCAATTCACATTGTGAGCACTTGCGACGGCCTCCGAAGTGAGCATTTTTTGCTTGATGTAGTTAGAGCAACTTTTTGTTCAACTCTCAGTCTACCTTGTTCCTGCCTTGGCTTTACCCTTGGGTTGGTTGTTGAGTTGATGCTGTTGCTGTTGCCTTGCCTGCATCAACCAACAACACTCAATGGGCCACTCTTACGCATGCGATGCCCAAAAGATGCGGGTTCATGCGCACCAGAACAAGAATAAGATGAAAAATAATTTCATCTTCCAGTTGATATCAAGTCACTATAAGATGAACAACACCTACCTAGAGCCGAAAGGTGAGAGAGAGAAAAGAGAAACTTGAAGACGGAAAAGTCTTCATCAAAAGTTACTTGAGTTTCAACATTTGAAGTTGCTTCATGTGCTTTTTTTTGTAAACCTTGACACATTTGGAACAAAACTTTTTCTCAACTTTTTTCTTGCCTTTTGCAACCCTTTCGACAAGCGTCTTGACCGACACTCAACTGTCATCTTTTTTTGATTGAAATTGTTTTTATTCCGAGTTTTTTCTTCTCTTTCTCTTTCTGTACATGAAGAATGCAACTTTAATATTATCTATGTTGGCTCTTCTCACCCTTTGTACACTTGAAACTCAGGGAAGTCATGATAAACACGCAACCTTATCCTTACATGGAAAAATGGATTCAACTGTTGCCCTCATTTTACAAGTGTTTACCGTGTCTGTGTTGTGATAGGAAAAGGTCAACCCAGTGGATTGGCCGGCAAACTGGATCAACCAAAAGTTGGTCCCGTTGTTCCGACAAGTTCAACTCCAAGTGGATTAAATGTTTTGATACCTTTTGCCGGACAACTTTTCCCTTATTGTTAGTGTTGACATTTTGTTTAAGTCCAGTTTACGGTTTAACCAATTCAACTACCCCAACCAAGGGTGATTCAATCATAACCATTACTGGCCTTCTTGGTGATAAAGTGTCTATTCCTTGTACCATTAATACGGATGATTGTGGTGAAGTGTATTTTGTTGCTTGGACCAAGAATACGGTTCTAGATGAAAACAGTGAAACCTGGAGTCGGGTTTACATGTACAGTGAAAATATCAATAAACCTTTACGTGAATTATCATCGAGAGCAGCCTTTCAAGTTGAACCCTCCAAGGGTGGAAACTTGGTAATAGATAAGCTTAAATACAGTGATGAAGCTTATTATAAATGTGATGTTACCTACATTTCGGTTGGAAAGTGCCCTTCCTTAACATACATTCACCTTGAAATTTTGGGTAAGTCAAATGGTCAGTCTGAGAGAGAGAGAGAGAGAGAAAAGGAAAAAGTAAAAAGTGGAAAAAAATTAATAGGAAAGAGAATAAAATTGAAACTTGGAGAAAAAAATAAATGAATAAAGTGTTCCTTCCCTTCATTTACTCTGGTTACCACAACAATCAAGAGATAATCATAGTATAATAACATCCTTCTCCTTCATCTTCATCTTCATCTTGATAGTTAGGCAATCTGAGGTTTCATTAAATTTCATAGCAACTCATATAAACACTCATCAACAGTTAGATTGACTTCAAGTGCATTTTCAGTCTCATATGATGAACTGCAATGTTAATGATTTAAATTAAAAAATTATCTTTTCTCGACTAAAATTGATTCTTATAACATTTTACTTTATTAATCAATACAAAATGTCATGGAAGTCAAAAGCATCAGAAAATCATATAATTATTTTGCAATAAAAGGGTTTGAAACAAGAGTCGCAAAAGCAGTTACAAATTGATTTGATCCTAATGAATATTTCATTCATCATAAGTTATAACACTTCCCAATCTTAACCTAACACCGTCCATCGAAAACACTTCAACCAGATTTTTGTATAATGCTAACTGAGCTTTTTTCCAGCTCAGTGAAATCCTTTCCGGTTTCACTGTAACAGAGTTCAAATTAGATTAACAACAAAGTTCAAGTTAAATGCCAAACTCCGCTTTATAAAAAAAATTAATCAGAGTTTAGTTGCAAGTTAAAAGGAGTGATGAAAATACACAAGATAAGACATACACAGGATAAGCCAGTTTGCTTTGTAATCCTAACCTAACCTAGCCTAACCTAATCGACTGACGCATAAATGTCACCCTTTAATTTTTATGCAAGATGTACTTGATTTAAACTCATGACAAGGTCCAGAGAGTAACTTAAGTTTTTCTTCGTCTCTACTTTTTCTGACATCTCTTGATTGAAACTCTTAATAATCAAAAGGATCGATAGGCCCTGCTTGGTTTCGTGGTCCGTATTCTGAAATCTGAATCAAGGCAGCTTTTAAGTATCTGCATGGTCGCAGTTACAGATCGCAATAGATCAATAGATCGCTCCAATATAATTGTTAAAGTTGATTTAGTTCTGCTAAACATTTACTCTTTCAATTGTTGGAATTTGACCGAAAAGCCAAAACTCAATCAACCTGATTATGATCTCTTTCCAATCATGGTTAATTGTTTAATTCAATAAGTAATTTTAGTTACTGTTTTCGTCTGAGAATTGAAATTGCAAATGAATGATAATGTTTACAAATGAAAACAAAAAGACTAAATTAAATAGCCAAGCCTTTTAACATTTATTACTTTCATCATTATCATTATCTTTTTGTTTCATTTTGATTATTATTCATTTTGATAATCTACTTTTATTCCTTATGATTCCATGATATCATGATTCAACGATAAACGTCTTGAAAGACGGCGATAAAGCAAACCAGAAAAGTGATAATAATTTAATTTTTCATTTTCACATTTCCCAACTCAATCTGATAATAAAAAGTTGAACCATTTTTTTTCTTGATACTTCATGAGAATAAAATTAACTGCAATTTCATTGTAAATATTATTCTTAGCTCAGCATCTTTTCAGTGATAACTTTTCAACTGGGATTGAGTCTTGGCTTTTTGCATTCCAATGCATTCATCTAATTAAATCAATAAACTTTACAATTATCTCAATGATGTTTTCATCCTCATCTTCATCCTTTCTCTTCCGTTTCTATTAACCTTTTATTTTGCCAGCAAAAATTTACCTTGAATAAACTTTCAGTCCCAAGTTTACTGAATAATAAATAGTTTTGAAAGAAAAGGAAAAACTAGGGAAAAGTAAAGTTTCAAATCCTTCATGAAAATTGAAAGATTCAACTTGTTCAAGATGAACTTTTCAATATTTGATCACTTTAATCAACATGGAAAAAGTTGGTATTTTTGTTCCATCAAATTCCATCATTTAATGAACCATGAACAAGTTTCATGATCATTACAATGAAATAAAGATTGAACCCTTTTCTCCGAGAAATAAAGTGTTTTTCAATTTTACTAATCAAACTTGAAGTTTGGAAAAAGGAAAAAAAAGTGTTTCATGAGGAGAAGAAAATTTTGTCGATTCTTCTCTGATTTATCCTTTTCAACATGGAGTCATGATGAATGATGACACAAAAAAAGGTTGAGATTTGGATGATAATGAAGTGAAAGTTTTTGTCTTAAAAATTGTTCTCAATCCAAGTTTTGTATTAAAAGATTATGTCGAGGTTTCTGTTGCGAATCAGAAATCATTCAATTGAATCGTGTTCATTTCACTCTCGCCCCTTTCCTCATCAACCATATTGGCATGCAATCATGTTTAGCTATTTTTGTTTGACAGGGTAGAACAAAAAGAAAGCGAGAAAAAGAAATCATTTTTACTAAATATTCTGTTACATTATTTACTTTGCTCGCTTTTTTGGCCATTTATCGGCTTCACTCATTTTCATCATGTTTATCATGCAGCTTTCCTTTGCATTCACTAACCTAATTTTGGTTAACTTCAGTTGCCTTTGCCAAGTTTCTTGACGTTCTTTCAATGGGTTTAGTCAAAGGATGACATCAAGTCTCAGGTTTAACTCAAGAGTGCAAATGTCTCAATCAGTTGCGACTTTTGCAAAGCTAATCATTCATTTTTAAAAAGTCAAGATCATAGAAACTTCCGAATTGAAGAATCACAAGCGATTTTTGCACTAGTTTCAACTTTGAATTCGAAAAGTTTTGAGCGTGAGAATCGAAAGTTCCTAAAAATTCAGTATTTCTGAATAAACAGAGAATAATTTTGTAAAAAAGTCGATTTTTTGGAAATTTCGAATTGAATAATCGAATCCATTTTCTGAGCAAATGTATAAAACTTTGGATCAACTGTGTGATACTTTTTTCCCTCAAAGTCATTACATTGTTGGACTTCATTTAAACTAATATTCATCTGTTGATGGACATGCTGTTGATACATTTGTACATATTTGTACATACCTTGTACTTTTGTCAATAATTAACTTGTTTTGTAAATGAAGATAAAGATGTTGACTATTTGATTGGATTCTGGTTCCTGGCCGTTTCAGCCTGTCAGTCTATTAATAGGATCAATTTTTGACTGTCAATGGAAAGGTTTTTCAATTGAAATAATAGCAACAAGTAATAAGTATTATAACCTTGGTTAGGTTGAACACACAAACACAGTATGTGTGTTACTTGTCAATATGTTACATTATTACCTTAATTATGCATTCAATTTTGTTTGTCTGTTTGTGTGTGTTATTGGTAAGGTTATCCTGCAGAGAGAATGATGAAAGTAAAAGTTGAATATGATCATGTTATTATCTTCATCAGTAACATTTTGTTGACAACATAACAACATCTCAATTGAAGATGAAAATTGAAATGCATGACAAAATATTACTCAAGAAAAACTGAACAAGCATAATCTTCTTACATTTTACTTTGAAATCTTGAATGATACAGAAAAGCAAGTGTTTATGTTGAATAAAGAAATAAAAAACAGGAGCAAAGGTAAACTAGTACAGAGAATAAACAATTTTGTGTTTTGTTTGAAAAATTTATCATGTAATTGCATAAACAAAGTCAGGGTATATTTGTTCATTTCCCAACTTAAATCTTGTTGATCAACATTTTCAAACGCGATTCAAAATGTTTAGGATCAAATGAAATTGGATAGTCAAGTTTACAAAAACAAAAGGTTTAAACCGAGCAATGATAAAAATGAATGAATGAGTTCAGTTTTTACTCTAAATATTTTAAGGATTAGTCGACTCTAGTTAGTAATGAGTTCAACTTGTTTCACGATAATAATGCAAAATAACCCGATGGTGTTGCAAACAGGAAGATGATTCAGAGGAAGATTAAAATCTCAAGCCATGAGTAAAGACAACTATGGTTTTTTAAACTGGGTAACTGTAATTGCTTCAACCCTCTCAATGATGATTGAGGATACTTATTTAAAGTCACACTATGGTAAAGATACATCTTCAAATGGATCAATCGAGTTACCAATAGATAAAGAACTTAGCTAGCTATGATAATAGGTGTGAATTGCCGAAAATACCGAGCACTTGAGCTGCATACATAAGTCGTCCTGGCACCATCTCACTGCTTCAACTCGTTATAGTTATAATGCAGGGGCGACTTTTTATGCTAAGCTAGAGACACATCCTTGTGTGCCCTTAAGAACAAATACTAAGATGTCATTTGGCTCGTGTTAGTGTTAGTTAACTTGAATGGGCGTCAAAGGTTTTATCTACCTCTTCGATTTCGCAGCGTATATAAGTTTCCAAGTTACTTACTTTCTCGGTTGTGCACGTCTACATGCCGAGCACTTGAGCTATTTCACAATTGTATTTCAATAAACAAAAACTGCATCTTCAGAAATTGAAACTTGATTCATCTTGTTCGGTTTTAAGTTTTGTTTGTTTTGTGCAGTTTTGTAAGGTTAGGTTAAGTTTTCACGTCACTTTCCACGTTTTTTGCACATTTGTAGTTTTAGTTGCAGTCGAGAAGATTGTCGAAGTTTGCATTTGTTCTGAAGATCAGAAGATCAGAAGAGTTGACGATTGTTATGTTTAAGGTTGCTTTGCTTTTGGGTTTCAGCATTGTACAGTTGAATGAAAATGAATGTGGAACTTTTGCTTTCCATTGCTCAATATTGAGATTGACTGTGGAAATTAATAATAGCGGGAAAAGTTAAATCATTCGTAACCATTGTTGAGTCTCTATTGACCATTAATTTGAAAACAATAATGTCCATCATTATTATCCGAATAAATCACATGCCTTTATCCCTTGTGATGATGAAAAATACAATTGAAATGATTATTATGATTAAAGTTGGATCATCGATTAAGACGACAATGATGAGAAAGATGGTTCAAAGGATGAAATGATTTGAGCTCAAGTTGATTTAAGGAATCAAAATAAAGCACAATCTAAATCTGTAGCCATTAATTTAGATGGACATTGAGAATGAGTTTTGAAGAAGAAGAAGAAAAAACTGAAGATGAAGATGAACAACAATTTACTGGTTGATGAAGGAAGAAAGGGGTCAAACGAGATTAGCCACTTAATCAATATTAACTAACATACATAAATCTTATTTATTTATTTTTGGATATTCATTTATTCCAGAGATTATATTCACTTTTACTCATGAGACTTGAGCCTTTCATCTTGAAAAGTTTCCTTGCATGATAAGAAGAAAAAGAAGAAACAAAAAGCAAAAAACAGTTTAACTAATTGTCATCTTTTTCCTTTCACATGTCTTCTCATGATGATCATCTTTAATGGAACCAATGAATATTTTATCTGGAAATGATTTGAATCGCTGAACCTTCTACTCAATCACAATTATGGTTTCACTTTCAATGCTCAATTGAATTGGTTTGTCAGCTGCTCCATCCAAAGCATCCATTGAAATCACTGGTTCACCCAATTCGATCCCAAATTCGGGTAAAATTGTCGACGGTTCAAATAGCATTGGACCATTTCGAGAAGGTGATGAAGTTCATCTTACATGCAAAGTAACCGGTGGTAAACCTGAGCCTTCACTTGAATGGTGGTCAGTCAAAGGTGATAACAAACTCGTCTTATCTAGTTCATCATCTTCATCCTCATCCTCATCAACATCACCAAGTAGCGACAATTCAACCAGCCTTGCCTTGATTAAAAAAATTGAACGCAGTGACCTTAATAGTAAATTACAATGTCATGTTAAACATGAATCAATTGAACCAGATAATTATCAATACGATTCCACAGTTGATCTTGATATTAATGGTGAGTATTTCCAAGTTGAGTCAAAACTCATTTTCAGTCCAAAGCAAAGTCTCAAAAGTTGTTGTAACAAAACTTTTGATGAAAGTTGGACGGACATTTTTGCTCAACTAAACAAGACTTTTTCGAGTTTCACTTTACCTGAAAATAGTGCCAAAGGCCATTCAATTTGTAGAGCTAAAGATTATTGACTTTGGTTACAATTTTTAATTTGATTTCATATGAAAAGCTAAACTTGAAAAAGTATAATTTACTTGTTTGAAATGGAATTAAAATTTTGTCTTTTTTCTCAGTTGGTGCTTTAAGTGTTTATATTGTTGGGCCAATTGAAGAAGTGAAAGAAAACGATTTAATTACAATTAAATGTATCGCAATCGGGAGTCGACCTCATGTCAACATTGAATGGTTCAATGGGTAAGTTGAACCTCTGAACAAATTAATATCTCAAGCTGCTTGAAATATTAGTTAATATCAGATGAAACAAATGAGGTTGAAAGATGCTTTTGTTTTCGATGTTTACATGTTCAAGTGTTTCATTGGCTTTCATTGTGAAATTCATTAAAATTATTTTCATGTTCTGCTGAATCAACCTGTGAATTGGTTAATTTGTATTCATTGAATGTAATTGTCAAAAGTAAATGTTGCTATTTGAACGGAAATTGAATTGCTTTTATCATGCAAAGTGAAGATGAAAAACGCAAAGCAAAAGTTGAAAGTGAAACATTGAATCGCAAATTGTTTTGCTGAAACAATTGATAACTTGTAAGAATGGAAAGAACAGAGAAAACAAAAGTTTCGAGTTTACCGATTTTTCGATTAAATTTAATTCAATTTTAATCATTTTTGCATTTGTTTCTTTTGCCAACTCGACAGCACTCAACCCATGCAAAATGTTAAATTGAGTGAAGAAATTTACGAAGACAAAGAATCTGGTGATGGAACAAAGCGAACTGAATCAATCATGGAACTTTACATTACTCGGTTTGATCATTTAACGACAATTGAATGTCGAGCAATCAATTCAGCCATGAATGAACCCTTAAAGGCAACAATTCAATTCAAAGTTTTATGTAAGTTTAACTCTTTTGTACCTTCATTCCTCAACGAATATCATGAATATCATGATTCATCTTGAAAGTTTTCCTCTTAAATTAATTTCTCTTCTCATTTTTCATTTTCATCATTATCTGTTTATCGCTTGATATTATCATGAAAACAATATTCATTAATTGTTTGTTTTACAACAAGAATAGGAATTTAATAATGAAATGATGAAAAGGAAAGTCCATCAATCACAAGAATTGTTCAACAGAAAAGAATAGCTTTTTCCCATAATTAACCAACATTCCAATCATTTTATCTCAAATTGATATTGAACTTTTCATGAGGTAAAGAGTGTGTTGACTGGGAGGTGAAAAGTTTAGACTATCAAGAGAGGTAAAAGATAATTATGTTTGGAAAATTTGTTGATTAATTGGACTTCTTTTTTTCGACCTTTTAATTGATGACATTTAAATGAACTTTTTGGCTTTTTACTTTGCTTTCAGATTCACCGACAATTGTTATGGAACCTGAGAATGGCCTTAAACTACAGGAAAACCAAGAATCGATCAACATTTATTGTACTTATAATGCTAATCCGGTTGAACTGAAGCGCAATGAAACTCGTTGGTTCAAAGACTCTCAAGAGATCGATATTGAGGGTTCAGAGGGACGTTATTTAAGCATCTTTTCTGGTTATCCAATCCTGTCGATAATAAATGTTACCCGTGATCACAGTGCGACCTATTACTGTTCAATCGCCAATGAAATTGGTTCCAGTAAAGCTAAACAGGGTGTCCATTTAAATATCATTTACCGTCCAACAGTAACTTTCAGAATATTTCCTGGTAAGTGTTCAATTCTTTGTCTTAACTGTCTATGTTGAAGAGCAATGTTGATGTAAAGATTAAACCATTTTCACTGAAAATTCGGTTCCTTAAGAATTACATTTTGTTGCAATCAACTTGCAGTTGATTTCAGTTCTGATCGACTTCTGGAAATTCGCAGCTTCGATAAATAAAAGGTTCTGAGCTTGTTTTCACAAATGCTGTTGATCGCATAAATAGATTTATGCATTATTAGATTTCAGTTTGAAGTATATTAGGTTTGTTGCGACTTTTATGTTATGAGAGTCGGATTTCGGGCGAAAGTTGACTTCTGTTTATTTGAGAGGAAGTAGTTGTTGATTTTTAACAATTAAAATTGATTTTAGTTTAAGATTATTTTGTTTTGTTTTACCTAAAAATTGAATTATCTGGACTTGTCAAGAACCGCTTTTTGTTATAGCTTTAAATGCTCTTTTGTTTTGTCCTTTTCATCGTTTAAATCTTCAAAATCCATTGTACATTTTATCAGCTTGACACATGTGATTACACAGATGAACGGCTATCATTACCTAGCATGACAAGGTGCTGGACTCGAGTCACTCATCCGTGTCTTTAAAGGTGATTTTCCAGTTTTTACTCATCAATTAGCCTTGAATAACAAGTTGACCTTCCTCACCTTTTATCAGCTCTCAACAAAAAGGACAAAATGTCGTTTATTTGCACGGACAAAATTGAAACCCAAAAGACAGCTTCAGTTTGATAAGATCAAAACCCATTCGCACTCATCTTTGATGAACACTAAAAACCTGAAAAGAATCAAAAGACACTTTTGACAACAAATTTGACCATATCGATTGCTAAAAATGGCTCAAAAACGATTAACTGAAAACTTGAAAAATTCAATTATTTCATGCTTTTCCTTTCCAATGTTTATTTATCATGTAAAAGGTTAAATATGATATTTTTTGCTTCTTTTTTCATCTCTTCTAAAAGTTATTTAGTTTTGTTTTCATGAAAATAAAAACACTTTCATCTTCAATTTCAATGAAAACAGATGCAAGGAAAATGTTGCGAAAATGAAAGGAAACTATTGAAGGAAAACAATTGATGATAATTTTGGATCGATACAGTTTCATGATAACATTGGGAGAAAAATATTTACCCACAATATTCATGGAGAAAGGAGAAAGAGAGAAATGTTGAAGATTTGAAAATTTGTTCACAATTTTGTTTGTCTTCACATTGAAATTGAAGGCGAACCTGAGGAGAGAAAAGAACAGAAAAAAAGTTGAAAAACAAAAATCTAAACAAATAAAAAGGTTCAAGTTTATTGGAGTCGAGGGAAGGATAAAAATGATGACAAAATCTTGGAGTAAATCATAATCCATGTTCAGGGATAAAGAGATGAAAACGGAATAACAGGGAAAAGATTAACTGAGTGGAAACGAGATGAGAAAAGATTCATGATTTGAGGGAAAACATTGAACAGTAGAAACTGGAAAATCAATTGATTAAAGTTATTTAACTGTAAACCTGTGAATTGCGTTTAAATAAACTTTTTTTCTTCCAACATCGAACAACGAATTTCAATTTTTCTTCAATCTTTTTTCCATTGTTATTCATGTTCTTTTCCAGGTCAGACTAGCCGATGATTCAGATTTTGATTCACCTTTTGGGTTTACCTTTTTGTTTTGGTTAACCTTGCATTTGTAAAACTGCAAAACTGGTTAACCATCAATTTAAGTATTTTGAGTAAAATGTAAGAATAGAAATTTTATTTTTTGAATTTTCTGTTGTTGATAGTTTTGGTCTCTTTTTTTTGGTGAATGAAATCAGAGTTGGGCAAAAGGGAAATTGTTTATTTGCTTATTCGTAAACACACAATGATGATAACCTTTGAATTGAAAGAATTCACTTTTACTCTTTTCACCATGTTATTATTCATTGAATGAATCGAGTAATTCAAATGAAAATAGACAGAAATTTTCAATTGCTTTTCTTTTTGTTTGACTGTGCAAAAAGAGATTGAGTTTTGAAATGCATTAAATTGCTGGTGATGATTCAACTTTTCAACATATAATTTCATCAACATCAACATTGATTGTCTTTTTTGTACATTTTTTATCAATAAATTGTTCACTAAATGGGAACAAAAAGCGGCCTCAAAATGTTTCATTCAGTAATGGAAAGTGTTTGTGAAAACTCCAAAGTGAAACGTTTATTAGAACCAAATCGTAACCTTAGTCATTAAAACAACCGCCAACGATTTCACAGGTTTAGATTCATCGGTTCCTTGTTACAATAATAATGCAAAATCCACCGACAATGATGAGTTTTGAATCAGTTAAAGACTTTGTAAGTTATTATGAAACGCAAAAGTAATGGGAATTTTATATTAAGGAATTTTAGCTTCTAATAAGCGATCATTCAACGATCGTAATTCAGCTCATTTCCTCTGAAGATCAGTTTTTATTCATTGTTAATTAATCCAAACACAAAGCTTTATCCATCATTTCATTTTCTTCAATGTTCATGGTCTAATATGACAATTAATTGCTTGACAAAGACTCTGGATTTGATATTTTCTATCCAAATTAGCGCCAAAGTGAGTTAGCGATTTGTGCTTGTGTTCAAAACTCCAATAAACACATTCGATTAGTTTTAATTCATAATTAAAGTGAGTTTCTTCAATACTTTTGCACTGAGCTTTACTGGGTAAAAGTAACTTGCATTTGTGTGCATTGCAAGCTTTTTTGTGAATAACTTTTGAGCGAGAATAGAAGTTCAGAAACAATTTTTGGATTGATCTTGACTACATGTCTTCTTCGGTTGTAATTTTACAATGTGTTCGAAGTTCAAATCTTCTCAGTGTATATATTGCAAGCGATTTTCCACTTAAGATTGAATTCGTATAATGAACTGAAAGGTTAAACAGACGCTTATTCTGTCAAACATTGATTGAGTTGTGCAAAAATGCTAATGTTTTATGTACTTTACCCATTCGCAGATGTCCGAAGTGGTATTATGATTAAGGAAGGCGATGACATTCAATTGCTATGCGATGTTGAAGACGGCAATCCATCTAATGTGTCCAAAGTGCGCTGGATCCGAACCACAAGTGAAGGAAGCGATACAATCATTAATGAAACCTCGCAAAATGAGATAGTCTGGTTGTCAGTTGATCGCTCTTTGAGTGGCAACTATTCATGCCAGGCTCTCAACGAGGCTGGTTGGTCAAAAGAGTCAAACATGGTTGAACTGGACGTGAAGTATCTTCCCTCACAAGCTCAAATTCAACAGATAAACGGCAATTATCCAGTGAAAGGTGAACCTCTTATCCTTGAATGTATTGTCCATCAACTAGGTTGGCCAATAGCCGAAGAATATCTTTGGGAACAAGACGGGATTCGATTAATAGACTCGACCGAGTCCATTTTAAACATAACCAATGTTACCCTTTCAACTCGAGGCAACTATTCGTGTGCAGCAATATCCATGGCAGGATTGGGTTCTAAAGGTAATTTTCACCTTTTCCAACTTTTCCCTCAAAGACAGACTAAACTTTGAGCAAAAGCATCTCAAGTTGCATTTAATTTTTCAATCTTACTGTTCAATTGAACAACCTCAGGCTAAACTTAAATAATGAAAACCAATTGTTGTTATCATTAATTTCACTCACAACCTTTCCAATCCCAGTTTATATTTAATATTATATCAGAATATCAGGGTTTGTCCAACAATTAGTTCAACTTATTGACCAATATAAAAGTGGATTAATTGTCATTGTTTATCAGCTAAATTACAGTTGAACATAATTATGATGGAAATGATAATCTTTTCTCATTTTAAATGTAAATTTGTGTTCGACTTTTTCAGGTTATCTTTACATTCAACCAATGGTTCCACCAAAAATGATTGAATCTTTACCTGAAGTGGATGGAGCCTTGTTCAATGCAAGTCAACATTCAGTCTCATGTAGAGTTGAATGTGATCCTCCGTGCTCAATCAAATGGTACTCGAATGGTTCGATAATCGAGCCCAACAGTTCAACCTCTTATACGATAAAAGAGACTCAACATCCAGAGGAAAAAGAATCCAACATTTTCCTTAGCATTGTATCAACACTCACTTGGAACATGGCACAACCCTTGAACAGAGAAACGGGAAATTCTGAGATTACCTGTTCATCAACCAACAACCTTGCTGGACCTGGAGTTGAATCAAACATGCAATTTAGAGTTGAATGTAAACAGTTTGAAAGGCTTTTCATAGTAAATCAAATGTTAATTTCATTTCGTTTCTCTTCCAGATCCTCCTGAAAATATCTTTGTTTCACCGCAAACTGTTACAGTCGTTGAAGGTAACATACCTGAAGCCATCAAGTGCCATAGTGATGCTCTGCCAGAAGCTTCATACCGATGGGAACGTTGGGGTGTGCCCATTGTGGTTTCACCAATTCTTGAGATTCACAACCCAATGAACCAAGAAACTGGTGGCAACTATTCATGTGTAGCCTACAACAGGCACGGGTCAACCCGTGTCGATGCCGTAATAAACGTTCTTCGTAAGTTTACATTTGCTTCGCTAATAAAATATCAAATGCAAAACCTTTTCAAAACTAAACAACAAATGAACCCAAAAGTTAAATACTCTTTACTTTACATTAAAACAATGTATTAAGATTCAAAATAACGACAGAAAATGCAGCCATTATAACGATCCGAAGTTTGGTCTAAACATTATTTCCAAAAACAGAAACTCTGCAAAATGAAACGCAAAATCTTCAAGAGTTGATCGATTACCAATATACTTGCGAAAAACAAATCTAACAAAAAATGAACCCAGTGTTTCTTTTCATCAATACAACGATTAAGATTCAAAATAAAGTCAGAAAATAAAGTCATTACGCAGAAGTTTGATCGAAACGTTATTTCTAAAGCAGAAAACTCTGTTAACTAACTCTGCACAAATTGAAATCTTTGAGTATTATGTAGTAGTAGTAGACTTAAGAGAAACAAAACTTCAGACTCGAATAACGTTATTCTTGAAAATTCCTCATTCAATCATTTCTAATTGTAACATTTCGATTCGCAGATAAGCCAGTCTGTGAGATATCTGAAAGTGAGGTGAGAGGCAGTGAAGCTGATGGTCCATCGTCCATTTACGTTGTGCTCATCTGTGAAGCCATTGCCAATCCAAGTGATAATTTATCTTTTCAATGGACACTGGGCAATTCAACGTTCACGTCAACCAATTCAAGTGATATTGTAACCAATCAAGGGTTACGAAGTCAAATTGTGATATCGCCAAACGATGAATCCATGTTTGGCACATGGACTTGTTCAGTAACCAATTCAGTTGGTTCTTCATCTTGTCTCTTCACCAAATCGGCTCCACTCAGTAAGTCAACCATCTTAGAGTCTAAACCAAGTAAACATTAAAATTAAATTTTATCCACAGTCGATTCTCGCTGGACGATGCCTCACTTTGATGAGAAATCAATCATTCTTATCGCCGGTATTCTGGCCATTATCATAATCATATTCATCATCATTTTGATCATCATGTTTTGCCGGATGAAACGTCGTCGTGCCAAACAAGGTAAATCAAATGAATTAATCTAAATTACTAATTTACTTTTGCAAAGCAAACATCAACATTTGAACCAATTTGGATGAAAGTTGAATTTCGATTAATTTACATTGTTAATCATTGAAGGAGTGTTTAATATCAATTTAGATGGAAAACCGATTAAACTGATTGTTATTCATTTGTTGATGTTGACTGAATGATTAACCTTAAAACTAATTTGTTTGTAACCAATTTTATTCCTTTTCCCTCATTTTCCATCTGACATTTTCACTTTCAATTGCTGACCATCATCATGAACCATCAGAATCTCATTCATTGGCATCGGACAGAGAAAAGTAAGAATGCGAAAAGCAAATGCAAAAGATAAACCTTTTCATCCAATGATCGCAATCTTTTCCGGAACAAAACGCAAAACACAAACACTCAGTCAATTGTTAATATTAAAGTGTACAACTTGATAAACAATAATATATTTATTACTTTAAATTGATTATTCAATTTCAACCTTTCTTTATGTTAATTTAACGATTACACAGTTAAACAGTTGTAAACCTTTTCCAATTGATAATTGATCATCAAAGTTATGCATTGATGAAGCTGTTAATTGTCATCGAATTATTATTCAAAATGTTTACCAATTAATAGCCTTGGTCACCATCTAGTCAACCATAGCATGTTAAACTCGAGTTGACATGAAATTGTCTCCAGTAACAATCTGTTGTTTAGACTTTAACGATAAATTGACCTTCTATCATCATCATGAACGTGATATAAAGTTTAATGATTTTTCCAAAAAATTGACAGAAATATTAAAATTATAAGCTCGAATAGAGTTTACAAACATCGAAAAAAGCTCTAAATCCATGGAATGTAAAAGTCGAGAATATTTTGCAAGAATTAAAATGAATTTTCAGCGATTTTTGAGAAGTTCTAAGAACAAACAAAGTTTCGAAAAAAATCGACAAAATTTCAGCATCAAAAGGCTAAAGTTGTTAGGAAGAATCAAAGCAAAATCGAACAAAAAAGTTGAAAAATTCATGGAAATGGAATAATAAGTTGAAATATTTAGAAGATTGGATTGAGTTTCGTTAAAAGTTCTGAATAAAATTTCGAGATACTTTTCAATACAGTTTTGGGAATGGATTAGAAACTTTTAGACTTTTTGTTTTTTGACTATTTGACTTGAGGTAAGCTTTGGATAAGTGTTGGATAATAAATTGGAAATATCTTTTCTTATTTTGTCTGTTTCCATAACTTGGTGTCCTCTTCATTAGTTTACAATTAGTTGAACCTTTTAAAAGCTGACTAAATATTTACCTTTTGGTTTTGCATTGATGGAAGATGATTGAGATCATTTTAATCGAAGTTGCATGTTTCAAGTAAACAAACATTTTACATTATCCTAAAAGACTAACATTTACCTTTTGTCTTTTCATTATTGTTTGCTTATACCAACTACTAATGTTAATGGATGTTAACCTTTGCCAAAACCTGAAACAATGAAAAACCTTAACGACAATTTAGACCTGAAAGTGAACGAACTCCAACTCCATCGTCTTACATCAGTCATGTGCCTTCTAATAAAGGTAATTAATAACCATTCCATATTCATCATAATGCACTTTATTTTCATCCTCATTTTTCCTCAGTTTATTATTATCATTATTCACCGAAAACGTTTCATTTTGTGAATGCTTCCTTTTCTTAATGCCATTGATTTTTGCGTTGTTTTTTGCATTTAGATCTTTACGTTTGATTCGTTCATCTTTTACAGCATTTAGACTAATCACAATCACAATTAACAACTTTCTTCTTTTCACTTCTTTCCTTGTCACAATCAATCCCGCTTCACTTTTGTCAATTCACATCTTTCCAGCAATTAAATATCTTCAGGAAACAAATTTACGCCTTAAAAGAAACGATCGAGTTTTTGGTAAGAAAACGCATGAAGAAGGGATTAAGCCTTGTGTCAAACTCCTAAGCACTTTAAACGTTAATTTTCACAGAATTTTCAGTTCAGACTAATACAAAACTTCATTGAGAATCAAAATTATTCTCTTAGTTCCAAATTTATTCAAAACGTTAGTCAAGTTAAATTTGAAGTCGCTTATGAATAGCGAAAAACCTTAATTTTCTTGTTACAAATGCAGCAAACAATTCAATGATATCAATTAAACTTTGAGATCAGCTCATCAGGTTTAAGCTTCGAATCGAGTATTTGCTTTATTAAACCTTTCATGTTCTGTGGTCACGTCAGTACTGTAGTAGTAGTGACTTTCATCTTCAGAATCGATACCAAGTATAACAAGTTGTTGAGCGGTCGAGTCATTGATTTAGGCCGACTGATGAGTTGGTCTTTGAAGGGAACATAAGTGTGCATTAAGTTTGAAGGTAACCTAATGAGTCCTGATTTTTCCAGTAAACCTTTGAAAGTGAAAATTTCATTTTGCTTAGGCTGCAATAACGCTTGGACAGGAAACTTCGCAAATTAATGAACGATGCTTAAACAGTTTGGCACATAATGATAATAATAATTGTTTTCACTCGAGTAACAATATTTGAAATGAAAAATGTTTAGTCTGCACAACCTTTAACCTAATTGTTGACCCATGTTGACAGGTTTTTTACCTCTAAATGTAGATATAATACCAAGTAATGGTGGCTCACAAAGTCAACTGGAGTCAACACCTAAACCAGAAAATGAGATTGATAATTCATCGATTAATCCAAATACCAAAGAAATGTATGAAAATATGCCTTTCCATCGAAGGGTAAGTCGCACTTTCGTTAAACTTAAACAAACCTATCATTAACTTTGTTATCATCCATTCAAAAGGGAGTTTAAACTAAACGTTTAAATGAAATGCCAACCTGAAAAGTGAAATCAATAGTTAACCTTTTGCTTCTAATCAACCACAATAATCAAAATAAATATCAAGTAAACTGTCCCTGGCCTACAATCAACACCCTAAATAACATCAACAACAATTAGAAATTAAATGTCGATAAAATCGAGAAATTATTCATTCGCACTTCGCCTTATCCTCAAATCTAACCTCTTTACATTTCAATCTCAACTTGTGGCCAAAATGAAATCACATTAACGTTTCTTGATTGATCAAGAATTGAACATTTCCTTGAATATTTTTTTCCATGAAAAAAACTTGTAAAGTTGAACTTAGCAATGAATTTCAGTTCATCCGTAAACCTCATGAGAATTTCGTTTGAAAAAAATGGCGAACTTTTACTCGTGAAATGTAAACAGATAAAAGGTGTTGCTTTAATCATGTTCAACATCAATTATCATGATAATCATCATCATCATCATTATAAATACCGAGTTCCCTTTGAATACCCAAGTGTCCATCAACCAACTTATCAACTTTTTTTTCTTCTTTTCGTCCATTTCTTCCTCTTTTCACATAATCCAATCAAAATAAAGTTAGTTTTTCAAATGTTATTACCTTTCAAGGATTGATATTACCTTTTATCTTGAAACTCTCAAAGGGTATTGTAACATTATTGTAATAAGCTGGACTTGAGCTTTAATTAATCAGTTGCAATTGTTTAACAAATTGAATCCCATTTATTATTTAGTCCAAGAGGCTCAACTGTTCGTTTGCATTTCAACCCAATTCATGTTTACCTTCAATTGGATCGACCATTCAATCTTTGTCTTTGATATTGTTGGTAATTTCATAAGAACATGAATTTTACGATTTTCATCATTTTTGGGTTTTCTTCCGATTCTGAGTATTTACTGTTATCATGGTATTACACTTGTTTATTGTTATCCTTTGAGTTATTAAAACAATTAGAAAGTCTTTAACAATCCGAAGGGATTAAGTGAATCTTATGAAATATCATCGACTTGGAATGAAATTATTGTTCAATTATTTACTGGTAATCGTAAGAATTAGATGAACAGAAATAATACTTTGATTTGGAAACATGATTTATCATGATTTCTCTGTTTTCAATTTCATCTGTTCATGATTGTAATTGACAGAAGGTAAAGTGGACAGAACTGATAACGAGGATTATCAAGTTGCAAAAGTCAATAAGAGTTTATTTCAGATTTCATTTCAAGTGAAATTAAACATTTATCAGGATCAAATGAACTCAGAAAAAATAATTACATCGAGATTAATATAATAGCTTTTCAAACGTTAACAATGGTCAATAGAGTAAAATGAGCCGAAAATGTCTATCGACTTAAATCTACCAAGATAGTCGTTTGAACTTGAGTCAAAACTTTTGTCAGAAAAAAGCTCATCATGGTAGACCTGAGTCATGAAAGTAACCGTAGATAGTTCAAGATGTTATCAGTTTTTTGTCATAGTAATAATGCAAATAACCCAATGTTGACCATCAAAACTCGAGTAAAAATTGAAGCAAATGCAAAATTTATCGCGATTAAGTAAAGGATAAACCAAAACAGAGTTACAATAAGTCTTTACATTTTTATAAAACATGATTTACAATTTATGGAAAGATTTACGTTTAGATAACTGGACTGGAATAAAATATTACACTTTTAACTGTCAGAACTCGAAAGATTCAAATTTCGGGAAAAGAGTCTCAACTAGTGCCGATGCTTTAGAAGGTAATCGGCACATTGAGTTTGATCTGATTTGAGCTGATCGAGTTCTTTCTCAAGAGGATAGCATCGTTTGATGGCATCAGTTACCCCGTAGGTCTACCTCATCTCTTCCTACAGTACGAACCACATTCACAAACTTTGGACCTTCTCTCGATATCTTTTCCTTCCCTTAATCTACCAAGCTTCCCCATGCAACCATTCAGAAAAATTACAGATTTCTTCAAAATTTTATAAGTTCGATTGTTAGTTGAAACTGGTGAAGGTTTTTTCATCACTTCATGTAGTGCGAAATGATACGATTATTTAACTGAATTCAGTCTTGTGTGTTAAATGTTTATTAGGATCAAATAAACTCTCACCATTTAACCTTTTGAAAAGTTTCCATTAATAATAACATTGAATGTCAAGTTGATTTGCCTTGAAGTTAACGTTAACCTTCAAATGTGATAATTTTAAAACTTATTGAAATTTAGTTTTCCTGTGCAAATGGCTGAATCAATAAAAGGCCACAATTTTCATGCCATCAGTTAGCTCATCAATTTAATGAACTCATTGGCTCAGCATTTTTCATTCACTTTAGTTTGCAATGAGACACCAGAAAAGGTAACCACACTTTTCCCCTGATCAAACAGAATCCAACTGAACATCAACAAAGTGAGATTATTTTTTCACTTGTTTAATATGTTGAAACTGACAGTCAACATGAAACCAAAGCTTAAAAGGTAAAAAATGTCTTGTGGAGAAAAATGGATGAAAAAAGTCAACTTGAACCAAGCTGAATACAGAGATGAAAGATAACTAGAAGATGATGAAACATGATGAAAAATGTTCCGCTGGAAAAGTGTAAGAATGAAAAGGGAATGAAAAAAGGTGCAAAAAACTTCAACTTACCTAACCTTTTATTTTCTGTTGCAATCTTTCATCTCTTTATTCACATTTGATTTATTCAACTTATCATTCATGATTTGTTTCATTTCACCCTGAACATTCAACAAAGTGCAAAGAATGAGCTCAATTTCGGAAACAATTTTGCTCAATGTCAACCTGAACATGTATTGATATTTGACTAAAATTGATTTGATGCTGATAAACATGTTCATCAAATGTTTTGATTGGAAAGGCTTTTAACAAAATTTTGCTTCGAATCGAAATTAAAGTTTTCCAGTTTCATTGAGAACTTTTCTTGACGCAATTTTCATCTATCAACCCGATTCTCATGGGAAATGGTGAACTAATTTTATTCTGATTTATGAATGCAAATATCAGGGGAATGGAAAAGTGTTACAAGAAGTGAACATTTAAAGCACAATAGATGATAATAGTTGAGAAAAGGATGAATCTTTTTAAATGATGTTGTCCATTGTTTTCAAGTTAATCGGTCAACTTGTGAAGATGTAAATAGCTCCAGATATTAGATAAAAATTATTGTCAATTATATCAACTCTCTTATGCACCTTTCATTATCATTATTTTTACCAACATTTACATTTCACCAAATTGGGTAAATATTTTTTTCTTGACTCTTCACTTTACAATGAACCATTTAGCTTTATTTCACTCCATCATCATTATAACATTTTATCAAATTGTTATCATGTATTTTTTAGAGATGTTATTATTCCTTGAACGACCATGAAAATTCCAATCGATATTTTCATCAAAAGATAATGTTCAAATATTTCAAGGTTAACTCAAATCACACTTTTCTTAGTAACTGATGAAGTCGTTGAATTGGTTGAACTGACTCGAACATTATACAGGGTCATTCAAACTCATTTACTTCACATTTGATTCAATAACTCACAGTAGAAGCACACTTCTGGGTCAGCGAGGACGGTCTGACAACTATGACTGGCTGATTTTGATGAGACATTCCACAATCGATAGGGCCAAGCTTCCATACAATCCTTGCATTTTCCCTGAGATTTAGTGGTTTCTGATATTTTTGGGTTTAATGACGTCATGCTTTATCATTGGATGATTTATAAGTGCCAAAACTTTGACTTTCAAGTCGGATTTATTGGCATTTTATTTTCGCTCAGGTGACATTTGCTCAAATGCCTTTTGCTGAAGTGACCTGACCCTCTAATAGGTAAAGGAATAGGTGTTGGTATGGAGGTTTTGGGTTCAAATCCTGGCGAATAGATGAGTTATGGGTGAACAGATTCGCCCGCATCTGAGCCAAGGTGTTTATGTTTAGCACTTCTCTAACGCTATCTTTTTGCGATTGTCAAGAAATCTTTTGATTTCAACTTCCAACGAATTTTTTCATTGCTTATTTTGTGAAACTTCGCACGGTTGAAAATCCTTGTTTTCTTCATGATTTATTTCATTTATTTAGATCTTAAAGTTTCATCTTAATGATGAAATGGTTCAGAGTTTCAAGTCAGCTAGTTGAAGTCAAAGTTGAAAAGTTGCAAGTTCATTATGAATGGCATTTGAATTATCAAAGTTACCGAAAATTTTATCAATTTTGTTATCAAAATGATGATGCAAAATAACCCAATGATACTTTGAGTCAACTCCTCAGTCTTGTTAAACTGTTTGAAAACTTCAACTTTTGCGGTTCAAGTTTTTTCTTGAAAAAATCATTATTTTATTGTTTTCTTTTCCTCTTTTTTCTTGCTCATTTTTTGTCCTCTTTGCTATAATGAGATGATAATTGTAAGAAATAGTATTTCATGATGAACCTTTAAGGCATACTTCATCATATTCATCATTTTTTGATGATGCAAGTAAAAATAATGATTACAATTAGCAAATGATTATCAAGGCTTGTATTAAAAGCACAAAGTCTTGAAACATTTTCTATTGCGACTGAATACTTTGAGATTTTGTCAATTGTACTTTGCGTTTTACCCTTGAGAGGATTGAAACGATCCTTGCAAAACTATTTATCTTCACTTGGATTCATCTTTATCATCTTCATTCTTTACTTGTTCACATCTTCTTGTCATCATCATTTTAACTTTATCACTCTTCACTTGTAAGCCACATGAACAGAGAAGCAAAAAGAGTTACCTTTACCTTGAATAAATTTATGAATAGGAATTGAACTCAAATGTTAAAGAATATATTCTTGACAAGAACTTTTTTTCCTCCTTTTCTTTTTCTTTTTCCCTTTTTCACATTGTCTGAATACAACAAAAAAAGTTATCAGAATAAGAT